TTATTGATCCTTGTACAAGTCTTCATCTCTGAGTTCATTTAGTTATGTTCCATCTTACTTACTAATGTGTTTCCACATGCTTGTACATAGCCTTGCTCCTTTGCTTACTGATCCCCTCAGATAGTCTCCAGTATATAACCCCTGTAGATACTCCTGTAGTTTCCTCAGTTTGAATATCATCTTAGACTTTGCTCTACTTGCCCAATCCTCTCTCAGACTTTGGTCCACCTAAGTCTGTCCTACCCATCAGGCCTAGGGATTGATTCCCTAGGCTGGAGCTCCACCTTTCTGGCACTTACCCTCTTTCCAGACTTAGGTCCAATCCCTGTCCCTCTGACTCTACCTTAGGGTAGTCTACCTCTGTTTGTTTCTACATTGGACTTCATCCGATGTAGCCCCTATTCCTTCCATACCTCTGGACATCCTGTAGAAGTATTACCTTGCAGTGGGAACTCTCCTGAGCACTTCCTGCATTCCTCCAGAACTCTCCTGTGCTCCTCCAGACATTTCCCGCGCTCCTCCGGAAGTCTTCCCACACTCTCCACCAGAGTAGTCAGCCTCTGGAAGTCCTCCGGACTTTGTTGGACCATCATCAGACTTCCTCTGAAATGAAGGGCACATACTTGGGTAAGGGGCACAGCATATGAGCTGAGGCCAAGCCCCTCTGAGTCAGTCTCTCTCTCCCTTGAGCAACATGGTTCTTAACAATTATCATCATGTGGAGTCTGATGAGTGGGGGGCTCCTTATGACAGTGGCACACTTGCTGATGGGCCACCTACCAATGTGGCATGCACCCATGCACACCAAGTCCGCAATGAGATCACACAATCAATGTGGGTTGATTATTTGCAAGAATGGCAATGTAGAGGCCTGCTGCCACTGCCTGGTGTACAAGAGTAGATTAGTTTGTTATGTTTGAGTATCTCACGTACAATGTATTGCGCTCAGTTGTTTCTTTAATCACTCAATTGCTTGAACACAAACACGACATGAGTCTATTGATTGCAGGATTGTACATAAGTTCAAGTAGGTAGGTTCAAGTAGGTATGTTTTCCCTAGCCTGCGCTTCCCTCACTTCCTTGAGGTGCCACGCCAAAAAAACCTTGTGAATGCCATCTCATTTGATGGAGTTGTAGTTATCAGTGATGGTGACATCAGACTGAAAAAGGTTCATCATGGTGATGACATTGTTGTCATCCAAGTTCTTCTCCTTTTGGACCTGAAGTACAGTGTGCTGCTTGCAGACTGGGACAGGATCAGTAAAGTGTCCGGCAATGGTGTCCTGAAGGACCAACATGGTGTTGGTGATGCTATCAACCACTTTCCCCCCAAAGTATTCCAACATGTGTGGCATAGTGAGGTGTTGGGATTTTGAGGACCCTGCCACACTCCTGGACTTGGAGTTTGGGGGGTGGGACTGACCATGTGAGTTGTCATCTCCATCGGACTTGTGTTTCATTGAGATTAATGAGGTAGGTGTGGAAGATATGGAAGGAGCAAGAAATGGCTGCAATGCAGCATTGAAGCCTCTTGGCGTGATAGGAGTGAGAGGCAGTGGCAGCAGTGGCATTGACCTAGAGTGTTAAGAACCATGTTGCTCAAGGGAGAGAGAGACTGACTCAGAGGGGCTTGGCCTCAGCTCATATGTTGTGCCCCTTACCTGAGTATGTGCCCTTCATTTCATATGAGGTCTGATGATGGTCCTGACAAAGTCCAGAGGACTTCCGGAGGCTGGCTACTCTGCTGGAGAGCGCTAGAGGACTTCCGGAGGAGCATGGGAAACGTCCGGAGGAATGCAGGAAGTGCTCAGGAGAGTTCCCACCGCAAGGTAATACTTCTACAGGAAACAGGATGGAAGGATAGGAGGTCAGGATGACAGAGGACAGAAGGACAGGATGTCCAGAGGTATGAAGGACAGGATGTCCAAAGGTACAGAGGGCAGGATGTCTGAGGGTTAGGAGGATGGAATGTCTGAAGGACAGGATGCCTGGAGGTATGAGGGACAGGAGGTCCAGAGGTCTGGAAGGAATAGGGGCTACATCAGATGAAGTCCAATGTAGAAGCAAACAGAGGTAGACTACCCTAAGGTAGAGTCAGAGAGACAGGGATTGGACCTAAGTCTGGAAAGAGGGTAAGTGCCAGAAAGGCAGAGCTCTGGCCTAGGGAATCAATCCCTAGGCCTGATGAGTAGGACAGACTTAGGTGGACCAAAGTCTGAGAGAGGATTGGGCAAGTCTAAGTTGATATTCAAACTAAGGAACTACAGGAGTACCTACAGGGGTTATATACTGGACAATATCTGAGGGGATCAGTAAGCAAAGGAGCAAGGCTATGTATGAGCATGTGGAAACACATTAATAAGTAAGTTGGAACATAAGTAAATGAACTCGGAGATGAGGACTCATACAAGGATCAATAAGCAAGACGGAACAAGAGGTAACCGAAAGCTGGAAAGGCAGAGAATGCCTAAATGGGGATAGGTGCAGGATATCGGACAGAGGGTGGGAATAGGTCTGGAGTTAATATCCAGAGGTCTGGAGATCTGGGGATCTGGAAGACAAGGTGGATACAGGACCGGAATACAAGAAGGTGGATATAGTCTGGAATCTGAGATGAGGTGAAGTTCAGATGTCTTGCTGGATGGAGTGTGCATAGGGTGGATGGGACAGGGGGGTATGGATCAGGCTAGCAGTGGAGATCTGATGGTCCAGAGCTCAAGGGTAAATCCGGAGCATAGTCGATCCTGCTGAGGTGTGGAGCACAGCGGAAGGGGATCTGGGAATGAGCTGGATATGAAGTGGGGTCCAGATGTAGGCTTGGAAGGCGTGGGAATATGATGGAACATGGGTCTGGATTGTGGGATATGACATAGAGTCGGCACTCATCTCAACATCTCTGGTGCCACCAGTACCGAACTTGACCTGGTCAAGTGCTTTCTCCAGCGACAACATGGTGATGTCACTGGCTGCAGGGGTTGACGTACCTGCAGTAGTGTCAGTAGTATGGCTTGGGGTTGATGCATTTGTGGTGTTGCTCAGGCCAGTGTAGAAGCCAGTCCAGCTGCCGGTGGTCACCAGGATGACACCCTGGAGCTTCTGAAAATGGGGCCACCCTTTGTTCTTGAAGGCCCTCACGTCAGGGTTCTTCTATGTAAATAGTTAGCATGGTAAATAAAGAGAGATGAAGAACACATACTGAAATATAATCCGCCCTCATAGTCTCCCCTCCATCATCTATATTGGCCCCTTTCTCCATGTTGTACAATAAGCCTGAAGTGTCATTCATTTTATTGATGACCTTGTACATTTTTAATATCTATAAATGTGTTAGTTAATTAAGTACCAGCGCTCACAAACAAGTACTTATGCGACCCCACTTGGACTGACAGGAATTGTAGGTCTTGGGGGCACCTTTAGGCACTGGACCAGCCACCATATGTAAAGTGGTGTTAGTCCAGAAAGTCTTCATAAAATTCATCCCATCACCTCCTTTTGAGTGCTTGTCAACGATGTAGTCGACCAACCTTGTTTCATCAGCCAATAACCAGACACAGCAGTCTTTCACCTCTCTGATGGAGTCCTTGTCTTCAGTGGCTGCCTTTTTTTTTTTACCTTTGCCCTTGGGTGGCATCCTGGCAGCACTGCACAAATGGTGAGAACTCAATCACATATGGGTTGAGGGCATATCAAGTGATAACATAGATAATTGACACATCATGATCAGTCACACTCAACTGGCACACACTGGCATTACTTAATCAAACTTGCTTTTTTGAAATTGGGCAAAGTTGGGCAAAGTTGTCCTGGCCAAACAGACTCTTAGTTGAGTAGTAAAAGTGTGGTATAATAACTACCATAGAACATGCCTACATAGTTATTTTAATAAGTAGTGCATGTTGAGGGATGCTGTCATATCCGCATATCTGGATCTCAGATCCACATCTTATCTCTGATGCTATCCACATCTTATCCCCCTCCAACATCTCATCTGTCCACTCATCCGGTCCAGTCCACAACTCATCCGAATCTCCAACCAGCGCTTGTCTCTTTTCAGTAACCCCCTAACTCCAGTATTTCAGTTATCTGTATATCCGTCCTGCTCCCTTATCCACTACCTATGTTTCATTTCCATTTCATGATTTGTGATCCGTTTCTACTTACCAATAGACTATCCACATGCTTCGTACATAGCCTCGGACTCTGCTGATTGATCATTCCATTAGATACCTATAGTATATAACCTCCTGTAACTTTCTGTAGTACCTCAGTTCAAATATCATCTTAGTTCTGCTCATTCCTGTCCTCTGGACTTGAGTACCTCTACTCTCGTCACCCTCCAAGACTTAGGATTGATTCCTATAGTCTATCTGTATCCGCCTCTGTCCCTGACAGTCCACTACTGTTAGTTTCTAGTCTGGACTCATCCGGATTAGCCATATGATACTTATCCCTCACCTGGAAGTCATCCAGATCCGTTATGCTACTTGTCCGACCTTCCAGACGCGCTAGTCTTGCCTTCCTGAAATAAGGGGCAATACTCAGGTAAGGGGCACAGCGCACAAGCTGAGGCCAAAGCCCTTCAGATCCAGTTACCCTTTGAGTATGACCTTAACAGATGCCAATCAAGAAATGATGATTTTGAAGTGTAATTTTGAGAGCATGTGACAAAATAATGTGATGCATGTCGGAAATTTCCTAGAAGCATTGCAATGATGTGACATTGCAATTGTCATTGAGATGTCACTTCCACAATATCATGTGGTGTTCTAATCAATAAGAATAACTGATAATTGTGACAATTATCTTGTTGATGTTGACATGTCATTCCCACAATTGTGCGCACCATTTGAATGCATTGGAATGCGACTTGAGTGCCACTGTAGCATCTCCATCGATAACATTGATATCCATATTCCCTTCATATTCTTGTATTCACACTTACTTTTGAGTTTTGTACATCTTCATGCCACCCAAATGGACCTCAATCTGTGAAACATGCCATGAGAAATTCAAAAGTTGTGGACTTGCTGCCCATCAAAAAGCCTGCAGGAGTGACACTATATGGATGCAGGAAGATCTTGAGAGACAGAATGCTTGAGCAGGTGAGTCTTTTATACTTTGTTCCAACACACTGAGTATAATTCCTCTTGACAGCTGCTCAAGCACACACTGAGCTGTTGAACCCTCAATCTTGTCCAATCCTGCATTGATCACAATGACCAGGTGTGTCCCAAGGTTTGATTCATTTTTTCATAGATTCATGTTTTATTTAATAATTTGTGGGCTTTCATGTGGCTCCTGCCACTTGTGAACCTACATTCAATGACTCAGAGTATGTACATCTTGATGAACTTGGGGGTATGTCAATATTTCTATTGTCAAAAAACTGGTCAGTCCTCATAACATTATATAGGTCTATCAAATGATCATGTCCTTCCACCTGCAACACAGCAGGATGATATCAGGACAGAGTATCATCAATGTAGTGGCATCCCTATAAAGACTGATCACTTTGCTGATTTTCACTGCCACACTGCTGCTCCCTCACTCATACCCAAAAATACCACTCCCTGGGAACCATTTTCCTTGCATATTGACTTCAACTTTGCTGAACTAATTCTGAAAGCCAACCTCACAAAACTGCAGATGAATGAACTCATCAGTCTCATCTGTCATGCTGTGCTTGAAAGATTCTCAGTCATCAACTATGATGGCATCTGTAAGCTGTGGGATGCTGCATCTTCATGCCATGCAAAAGTGAGCCTCTGCTGAGTACTGACTTACTATACCTCATTGACAATCAATTTTCAAGCACAGTTCAAAAAGGAAGTGATTTCTGTCCCGCATAAGGACCAGGAGCAAAATTTTGATATCTGGTATAGGTCACTCTGGGATTGGGCATGTGACTTGTTGAAGGACCCTCACCTTGGTCTGCATTCATGTTCAATGCTCAACGGTTGTACAAATTTGACAGACAATACTTTGTATGGTTCTTTGATGAGCCATGGACAGCTAATGCCTTTTGGAATAGTCAAGTATGTATGTGCTACTAAGTTTGAATGTTCTAACAATGTAAATGTATGTTTCATAGTCATCCTTGCCGAAGGATGAAGGAAAGCCCTTTGCTTTCATTATATATGCTGATAAGGCAAAGCTCTTCTTGTTTGGTCATCAAAAGGAATATCCCATTATTGCATGATGTGCAAATTTACCTGTTGGAATATGCAATGGTGAAGGTTTTGGTGGCAGTCACCTTGTAGGCTGGCTTCCAATTGTATGAGAGATTATTCGATTTGCTGTTGGCTTCTATGCTTATGACTAATTTTTGTAGGTCAAAGAAGACAAACAGTATTCTGGGACTCAGTCCTTTGTCAATTTCAAGAACGTTGTCTGGCATGAATTGTTCAAGCATCTTCTCAAATCAATTGTGCTGCTCTCAAAAACTGGTTGTTGGGTCACATGTTGGGATAACATCAAGTGTCTCCTTTACCCGCTTATTCTCATTTTATTAGCTGACTATGAGAAGCAGTAGGTGTATTGCCTTGTCATTATAGTTTTCTAATGGTTATTCTACAGATGTGTTATGGCATTGATACATGGAACCAAGTGCAAATGCCCTTGTCCTGTTTGTCTCATTCCTAGAGAAGAGCTTGGGAATGTACTGACATTGTATCCACTGCAAACAAGTGTGCCTATGCAAGCAACAATCATGGAGGCTCGAAGTTTCAGTCAACAAGAAGACAAAGAAAAGTAATCAATGTCTCAAGGCCTTCAAGACATAGACATAAGTTCCTTTTGCTGTATTCTCATTCTCAACTCTAATTGATTCCTTTAAGAATGCATTTTCAGATGTTGCTCACATGGATGTCCATTCTGCAGTCTCATTTGACCACTTACATGTAAATAATGAAGGTAATTTTTCTAACCATTTGTGAACTCAGTTTCAGGAATGCATCAAATCAGTTGGTCAGCAGATACAGTCTAAAATCAATGTACAGTACATTTTTCAACTTTGGGCACAGCAGCTATTGACTTAACAACTGGAATAGCTTTGACTCAATGCCTCGTTGGTGCAACATCAATCATTTTAACCATGTTATGGACATATCATTTTCTGACAGCTCCAAGTATGAAGATATCTCTAAGGTAAGGTGTTTCATTGACTCTCACTTGTACTAATTCTGATGGTTTCATAGCTTATTGTATTTGCTGCACATGATGTCATTGACCAAGGCACTCATGCACTCCCTTATCTGCTCCTTCAATGCATCCATGAATATGTGAACATCAACATGTATGCTGCTCTTGAAGTGCACACATTGGAAACCATTGCTATGGGCCGTCTGGCCATAATGGAGTTCACACAACTATTGGATGTCAGTTTCTTGTTTGAGTTGTGTTAAAGTTTTACTAACAATCTAAATTATTTAGTGATATAGTGCAGAAGATGACTCAGGAAAGAATTGGGCATACCTGAAAACAGCATGCATATGCCCACCTGTTTGATGATATCAAAGTGAAGGGTGCTACACAGAATACTAATACCAAGCCAAATGAGAAGTGTCATGGCCCAATCAGATGGATTTATCTTTGGTGGATGAACTTCAAAAATATTGCTGAACAGGTGTGTACTCTCATTTGTTCATAAAACAGGACAGAATTGCATTGATCTTACACAGGTACTTTGCCTCGACCATTGCTTCCTCATTGCACATTCAATTTGTTTGGATATTGAGGACTATGATGACCTCATTGCATCTCAAAAGGACCCTTCATACTCGAGCAGTGCAGACAATGATGAACACCTTGACAATGACTTGGACACTACATTTCATGTTAAGTTGGGTGCAGTGCAAAACAAGCAAACATTTGTGGCCTTGAAGTAAGAGCATGCAAATGATAATGCATTCAATTGGTTTCGCAGTAAGCTTGCAAACTTTCTGAGTGATTCCCTCCCTGCTTGTGGAATACCACTACCTGGCGGAAAATGAATCAAGTTCATGCCTGATGAAACTGTATGTTGTTTTATTATTTTCTGATTCACAACTAACACATAGAATGCAGGTAACTGAGCATCACTTTGTAAAGGTCAACTATGAGTCCATTATGGACTGGTGCACCACTACAGACTGTCTTCGATGTAGTCCTTCATTTCACAACTTCCCTTGATATGACTGCATCATCCTTCAAACTCAAGCTGGAGTGATATTTGGGCATTTACTGATGCTTTTCACTTGTGTCATGGATGGCCAAACTCATCCAGTTGCTCTTGTTCACCCATATGATGCTCCAGTTGGACAACACTCTCTCAAAGATAAACACTTTCAGTTCTGGCATGTTCATCAAAGACCAAGGATCTCATCTGAATTTTTTTCAGTTCACTCAATCATCTGTGGTGCAGCACTGGTGGAAGATCATAGCATCCAGGGCGATTACCTGGTTATTAACACAATTGATACTGACATGTTCTTGTGCATGAAGTTGATGCACAAGTCTGCCGGTCATGTGGAATGAGGAACTGGCCTCATCTTGTCTTATATCTCTGTCATGCTCACTCTTTGCTCACTCAACTCTCAATCCTTATATCCCCCTGTCATGCTCACCTTTCACTTGATCAACACTCAATCCTTATATCCCTGTCACACTCACATTTTGCTCGATCAACACTCAATCCTTATATCCCCATCATGCTCACCTTTTGCTCAGTTGATTCTCAATCCTTATGTCTTCACCTTTTGCTCATTCGATTCTCAATTCTTCCATCTTGGTCATGCTCACTTTCTTGGCTACCATCACAAAACATGCTGAGATGCTTTCTGAATTGGATATCTCAGCCACTGGCTGCTCACACTCACCATGAGGAAGCTCATGTGTTCATTGGTGTCAACATAAGGTAATGATTACACTCTTGGTTATGCCATGTAAGTGAACCATGCATGATTTTACCTGTTATCATTGGATTGACCTAGTCTATTCAGGGCCTAATTACCTTGTTACCGACATGAGGCATCGCCTAATTCCTTATATCAGGTGCCTCAAATGACTTTTTTTTTGTTGCCTTTCCTTTCATCAAACTGCTCTGGTCATTTCCATAATCACAATGCCACCATCAAGCACAATATCCCTTGCTGATCTTGAACAGGTATGTGTAGGCTCTGTCATATCCGCATATCCGGATCTCAGATCCAACCCTTATCTCAGATCCACATCTTATCCCCCTCCAACATCTCATCATTCAATCTGTCCACTCATCCGGTCCAGTCCACAACTCATCCGAATCCACAACCAGCGCTTGTCTCTTTTCAGTAACCCCCTAACTCTGGTATTTCGGTTATCTGTATATCTGTCCTGCTCCCTTATCCGCTACCTATGTTTCATTTCCGTTTCATGATTTGTGATCCATTTCTACTTACCAATAGACTATCCACATGCTTTGTACATAGCCTTGGACTCTGCTGATTTGTTAAGAACCATGCTCAAGGGAAAGAGAGACTGACTCAGAGGGGCTTGGCCTCAGCTCGTACGCTGTGCCCCTTACCCAAGTATGTGCCCTTCATTTCAGAGGAAGTCCGATGATGGTCCGATGAAGTCTGGAGGACTTCCGGAGGCTGGCTACTCTGGTGGAGAGTGCAGGAGGACTTCTGGAGGAGTACGGGAGAGTTCCGGAGGGATGCAGGAAATGCTCAGGAGAGTTCCCACTGCAAGGTAATACTTCTACAGGAAAACAGGATGGATGGATAGGAGGTCCAGAGGACAGGATGTCTGGAGGTCCAGAGTACGGAGGACAGGATACCAGGACGTCCAGAGGTACAGAGGACAGGAGGTCCGGAGGTCCGGAAGGAATAGGGGCTACATCAGATGAAGTCTGATGTAGAAGCAAACGGAGGTAGACTACCCTAAGGTAGAGTCAGAGGGATGGGAAGTGGACCTAAGTCCAGAAAGAGGGTAAGTGCCGGAAAGGCAAGACTCCAGCCTAGGGAAGCAATCCCTAGACTTGGGACAGAGACATAGGGGGCAAATCCGAAGGTCCGGAATTCCGGCCTAGGGAATCCTTCCCTAGGCCTTATGGAAAAGGACAAGACTCAGATGGACTGAAGTCCAGAAGATGATTGGGCAGATCTAAGGTGATATTCAGACTGAGGACTCTACTGTAGTTGTACAGGGGTTATATACTAGAGGCTATCTGAGAGGATCAGTAAGCAAAGGAGTAAGGCTATGTACGAGCATGCGGAAACACATTGGTAAGTAAGACGGAACATAAGTAAATGAACTCGGAGATGAAACTAGTACAAGGATCAACCAGCAAGATGGAGAGAGAGATAACCGAGAACTGGAAAGGCAGAGATGCCTAAATGGGGATAGGCGCAGGATCTCGGATGGAGGGTGGGAATAGGTCCGGAGATCTGGGGATCTGGAAGGCAGGGCGGAAACAGGACTGAGATATGTGAGGTGGTGGATGTAGTCCAGAATCCGAGAGGAAGTAAAGTCCGGATGTCCTGCTGGATGGAATGTGCATAGGGTGGACAGGATAGGGGATCCAGGAATGAGTCGGATATGGGGTCCGGAAATAGGTCCAGAAAGCGTGGGAATATGATGGGATCTATGTCTGGCATATGGGATATGACACACCCTCTGGTTGTGGATAATCACTTTGCATATGTTGTAAGTAACATCTTTATTTCATTAACTCTTGCTGATAGTACTTAAGTTCAAGGATGCAACAAACAGTAGCCATGCATCCAAAATCAAGAAACTATGCTCCAAAGCTGGACTTATCTTTGGTCTCTCTGAACAGTATTTTGCTGATATAGCATATGACTGAGCAAGTGTACCTGAGATCCAGTGTCTCCTCGGTACCTCTACATCCCAGTGTATGCCCAAGCCTTTCCCACCCATCCTTTTCCCAAATCTCATTGAAGATCCATCACTGAAAACGGTCTTTGGAAATTGGGAACTCTTTGGCAAGGTGTGTGATTGTGTCTCTTAATTCAATACTTATATTTATCATATAACATATCTTACCTGTCATGTTTTTAGGCTATGTGGATACTGCTGTGGGGTGGGAATGGCTTGACTGCACTACAAGCAGGAGGACCTCTGCGAAATGGTAATAGGTGGGAGGTGACATCTTTAATGCCTGGTTTGTTGGCATGGGTGGGCATAGTTGTGAGTTTTTGTGTGGAGAGAGAGTCTTGGCTGATGTGTTTTTGTCAGGTTGTTTTTCTACTGAGTGCTGACAAGGAATTTTGCTATTCTGGCAAGGGCAAGATGATGAAGATCCAGTACAGCTATATGTTCACCTCATATAAGAAGATTCTTGTCAAGAACTGGAACACAGAGTACACACATGACATTGTGAAGAAGCTGAGTAATTATGTCTTCTCCAGAGGTTTGAGAACAACTAACTCAATGTCAGATGAAGAGGATTTCACTGCAGCTATGGATCGTGCCTTAGCAGGTGTGACTGAAGGCAGGGTGTGCACTGTGCAGCCTGAACCACTTATAGAGGACATTATGGATGAGACAGTTGCTGATGCCAAGGCTAACAGAGAGAGACTGAGACCTAATAGTCCTCTTACATCTGAGCCTGATGAGGATGAAGTTAGTAACATTGTTACAGCACCTGCAGCTGCAAGAGGCCATTGAGGAGGCAGAGCAGCCAGACACACTGTATCTAACACTAGTACCCATACTACCCACAATGCTCACACCACTACTTAGGCTTGACTACATATAATATTAGACCAGATAGGATGAGCTTGAGTGGATTATCTAGAAAGACTTGACAACAGCATTAATGGAGTTTACTTTGGTTAATTTGAAGCTGAAGGTAAATTTGGAGGCTTGCATGGAGATATGTTCTGAGATTGAGCTGAATAAATGGGCAATTACTGGGGAGCACATTGTGACTCCTTTGAGGACTGTGTCTTTGAAGTATTGATATCATGGCTGTAGAGTGATCCTTTAATAGAGTTGGGGTTCCCTTATAACAAAGCCCTTGTAGTCTAATGTTATTATAGAGTATATAGTCTAAGTCCCTAGTTTGAATCAACCTAAGTACAAGTAATAAAACAAGTGTATTAGTAAGATAATTAGATAATAGTAAATACATAGATAGTAGATAACATAGACAGTAGATAAAAATAAGCAATAGATAATAATAAATGGCAAGATTATAATAGGATAATGACAATGGCCAGCCAGGGTACATAAATGGGATTCCCACAGACTGTAAGTTTATTTTAATGCCATTGTAATAATACAAAATTTAATGTTACAATGGGCATTGGCATGGTCATTGGTGCCACAAGGTACCACATTGGCATTGGCAATGGTGCCACATTGCCACCAGCACCTGTCAGCATTTCAAAATGGGGCTTACATTACTTTCCCATTGCCATGGGTGGGTTGTCATTGTGGTATTAGAATGCATTACAAGGCATTAAAATGAAACTCAGAAATTTCCAACACATTGATATCAATATCAACGTGTCTCATTGATGCATCCTCAACATCTCTCTTTTGTCCCAGCATCATGCACTTACATCAAACCATTAGACTTGCATTATACCATTGCATTATGTATTCTACAGCACAAAACAATTACAGTAATGTTAATTCAGCTTGTATTAATATTGGCATGAAATATGACCAAGGGACTTTACCAGGCCTTTTGTGCTGGTGGAATACTCACATGTGTTAGTGCTCAGCACCAATAGAGCATCTGCTACCCAGACTGCTACCCAGACTGCATGGACTGGTGTCAAACGAGCCTCCCATATGGAATTTCTCTCTGGGCCAGTGGGCATTTTAATGCTGTGAATGCCCATCAAGGCAGTAGGAAATGCCTCCAGACTATTGCTAGAAGGAGTAAGGAAGCCAATGAACCAACTACACATTCCCTGTCATTTACCTTAGATCAAAGCATGTATGTTTCCTTTCAGTCCCATTTCTCCCTTGTCATTTGTTTGTTACAATCATTGTATACCTATACCTATTTTCTTTCTTACCTATCTTACTTGTTACTGTTGGGCTTATGATACTTGTATTATGTCATGCACTGCTCTTTGCCACCATTAGACAGTTCCACTTATGAACTGTATATGTGTCCTTTTCTTGACATCATTGCTTATGCATTGCATTCTCATACTTTGTACTTACCTTTCCCATCTTGTTCCATGTGCTCCATATGGACTATTTAAGCATGTAGTTATCACTTGTATTCCTTGCTTTAATCTTACTGGGTTTTACCTGGAACTTCCTTTGCTTAAGACCTTCAATCTTAAATTGTCTGAATCTTACTTCAAGTTGAAGACACTCTCTTTGTCTTGGCTTAAGCTGAATATCTTGCATATGTGAGACATATTGAATCTCACTAGAGGTCCTGACTCTTATTGAGTCATCTAGTATTAGAACTATCCCAGTTTATGACACTGTTTTTGAACTGATTGATAAACTTCACAGTAATTTTTCTCTCATTCAGCCTGACCATTATCCAGGGCTCTTCATTGTCTGGCCTGGAGACCTTCACCCATTCCATATGTTAGTACCTTAGGAACTATATCATGATGGTATGGACAGACTACCTTTCCTAATTGACATCACACAAGTCAGTGCTCCTTGAGTTCAATCAAAGCACTGTGTTGAGTTCACCTTGATCCAGGGTTTGCCCTGTGCTGAGTGCACCTACCTCTCTTTTCATATAGATTGCCTTGTGGAAAACACATAGTATTAAGGTCGTGTACACAAGGGGGGTCAGATCAAAGGGCTTGGCCTTAGCTCATATGCTGTGCCCATTATCCAAGTATGTGCCTCTAACTTCTGGGGGCTATGAGAGTCATCCAGATTTTCCAGATTTAACAGGGGTGGATAATGGATGTCTGGACCTGAAACATGAGATAAATCCAATGGACATCCAGATATTAATTGGATAAGTGGATAAAGCTAATCCAGACAAAGTCTGGACTAGAAACTGACAGGGGATGGACTACCCTAAGGTAGAGCTGGATATATAGTTTAGGATACAATCCTAAGACTCAGATATGACAAGAGACTTAGCTCAAGTCTGGAGGATGCAAGAATGAGCAGGAACTAAGATGATATTTGAACTGAAGTATTTCTGAGAGTTATAGGAGGTTTATATACTGTAGGTATCATATAGAAATCAGTTAGCAGAACACAAGGCTATGTACATAGCATATGCAAAGTCTATTAGTAAGTAGGATGGATTACCAATAATGAATATCAGAAATGAAACACATATAACAGATCAGTAATCAGAAGGGAAACATAGTTAACCAGAGTCTGGAGATAGGGAAAGTCTAAATGGGGGTTGTGTGCTAATATAAGGTTTGGGTTCAAGAAGTAATATATAGGTAGATCAGATCATCAGAGATCCAGATCTCAGATCTAGACATCTGGAGAAGTGAATTTAGAGTTAGAAGTCCAGAATGGCATATGACACTGCCCTTGTCTATCAATTGGGCAGTTGTTAGCTTTTGTTCATGCTCAACCACAAACTTGGCATTCCCTCTCTTTGAACTCTTCAGGCTAGATCTACATATACTACCATCATGCCTACCATTAGCCCTATTTGTGACCAGAACTTTAACAACAAAATTCAATCCCTTATCTTAAATACTCATGCTGATGCTATCATGTCACTTCATGGGGTCAGTCTCATGATTGATGAAATGGCCATTGAAAAGATGGCCATGCACTACAGTCAGCATAATAAGATAGGCAGTCTATGTTGGAAGCACACTAACCTTGTTGACCCTGTCCTTCACACTTACAACTTGGCTGTCAGGATAGCCCAGAAAATTCACAATGGAGATGTCCACTTTGGAAAGGAAGTTTCAGTCCCTGGTGCTTGTGTTTTGGAGAGAACAAGCTTTACCTGATTCTAATGATGCCAACATGCAAGACAGAAGATGTGCATGACATGGAGGGTGATTGAAGCTAGACACCAAGTAAGTCTCAGCAGTCATAACAAGCAATGTTAAATTAGATCTACCTAGACACCAGGTAAGTCTAGGTAATATGTCAGCAAGAACTAAGTACAGGTGGCAAGAGAGTGTTTATACCTCAGTGATTGTGACAAGCAATGCTGAGGTAAACTATGTGCAGGAGAGACTTTAAGTATTAGACTTCAAGATGTCCGAGACAGGAGGAAGCAACCGGCAATAGTAACAGTGGAGAAACAGCACAAGGTATCGAAGATGTGATAAAAATAAAAGAGGAAAGAAGCTCAAAGATTCACCCAGAGGCTAATCCTCCAAGGCTCATACTGTGTGTGCTCTGCTCTTCTTTTCTTATCACCAACAGAGGGTGTCCTCACACATGCTATACAGCGCTAGGATGCCTCTGGTGCTAGTGCAGAGGTCTGGTGCATCTGGTTAGTTGCAACTGATGGTGATACAACTTGACATGCCACAGGCTATAAGCTATTTATCAAGAACACCCTGTCCCTAGACTCTCAGATATATGGTATTTTTACCAACATACCTGGGATGAATGCTTTGACTAGGGGTGGGGAGATTACACTAGATTTTGATCTGAAGCATATTTTGAAGTGTAAGTTTTTTCTGGATGATTAATATCCAAATCTAATGATTAGATTCAGGTATCTGTACTCTTATTTGCTGCCCTGCAGGTATTACTCTTAATAATGGTTAGATGATCATCTCTACTGATGTCAATATATATGCTGACTTGACAATGATCATGGTTCTCTGCAGTCTCATCAAGTCCATTCTTGTTCCATTTACAAATGTCAACCTCTTGCTGACAGAGCAAGTACAGCACCTTAGCCACTATGTGCATCTCACTTTTGCAGTCTTCCAGTCTCATTGACATTTGTTCATGTCCTATCCACTATACTATGACACTCAGACAATGGTGAAGAATGCTATGTTTTGTATTGTGAAGCAGCAAGTCCTTGATCCATATGCCTCTTTTTTCCTTGGTAATTGTGGAGACAATTGGTTGGAAGTTCATTTTGGGTGCACTTGCATGATAGGCAGGCATAATTTGGGATGGTCTTATTCACAGGTTGTAGATTGCTTGGGTGCTGCCAAGGACATTGATGGTATATTCAAGTGACACCCTGAGCTAGATCCAGGTCACCACTGACTTAGCTTGGGCACATGAGTTGACCATGTTGACCACATTAATTGGCATATGTGGAAAGATGATATCATATCAGGCTGATGTGACCTACTGTTAAGGTCGCGTGCTCAAGGGGGTCGGATCACAAGGGCTTGGCCTCAGCTCGTACGCTGTGCCCCTTTCCCGAGTATGTGCCCTTAATTTCCGGGGGCTAGAACAGTTGTCCGGAGTTTCCGGGATTTGACTAGGGTGGATAATGGATGTCTGGATCTGAAACGTGAGATAAATCCAATGGACGTCTGGATATTACTTGGGCAAGCAGATAAGACTAATCCAGATGAAGTCTGGACTAGAAACTAACAGAGGATGGACTACCCTTAAGGTAGAGTCAGGAATATAGTCTAGGATGCAATCCTAAGACTTGGAATATGACAAGAGACTTATCTCGAGTCCAGAGGACACAGGAATGAGCAGGAACTAAGATGATATTCAAACTGGAGTATTTCCGAGAGTTACAGGAGGTTTATATACTGTAGGTATCATATAGGAATCAGTCAGCAAACATAAAGGCTATGTATGAAGCATATGCAAAGTCTATTAGTAAGTAGGACGGATCACAAATAATGAACACCGGAAATGAAATGTATGTAATGGATCAATAATCAAAAGGGAAACATGGTTAACTGGAGTCCAGAGACAGGGGCAGTCTAAATGGAGTTGGGTGCTGATATAGGGTTTGGATTCTGGAAGGGAGATAAAGATAGATCAGATCATTTGAGATCCGGATCTTGGATCCAGATATCCGGAGAAGCAGATTTTGTTAAGAACCATGCTCAAAGGAGAGAGAGACTGACTCAGAGGGGCTTGGCCTCAGCTCATACGCTGTGCCCCTTACCTGAGTATGTGCCCTTCATTTCAGAGGAAGTCTGGAGGACTTCCAGAGGCTGGCTACTCTGGTGGAGAGTGCGGGAGGACTTCTGGAGGAGCATGGGAAACGTCCGGAGGAGCACGGGAGAGTTCCGGAGGGATGCAGGAAATGCTCAGGAGAGTTCCTGCTGCAAGGTAATACTTCTACAGGAAAACAGGATGGACGGATAGGAGGTCCGGAGGTCTGGAGTACAGAGGACAGGAGGTCCGGAGGTCTGGAGTACAGAGGACAGGAGGTCTGGAGGTATGGAGGACAGAACGTCTGAAGGACAGGATACCAGGACGTCCAGAGGTACAGAGGACAGGAGGTCCGGAGGTCTGGAAGGAATAGGGGCTACATTGGACTTCGTCCAATGTAGAAGCAAACAGAGGTAGACTACCCTAAGGTAGAGTTGGAGGGACGGGAAGTGGACCTAAGTCCGGAAAGAGGGTAAGTGCCGGAAAGGCAAGACTCCAGCCTAGGGAAGCAATCCCTAGACTTGGGACAGAGACATAGGGGGCAAATCCGAAGGTCCAGAATTCCGGCCTAGGGAATCCTTCCCTAGGCCTTATGGAAAAGGACAAGACTCAGATGGACTGAAGTCCAGAAGATGATTGGGCAGATCTAAGGTGATGAACAGGAACTAAGATGATATTCAGACTGAGGACTCTACTGTAGTTGTACAGGGGTTATATACTAGAGGATATCCAAGAGGATCAGTAAGCAAAGGAGTAAGGCTATGTACGAGCATGCGGAAACACATTGGTAAGTAAGACGGAACATAAGTAAATGAACTCGGAGATGAAACTAGTACAAGGATCAATCAGCAAGACGGAAACAGAGATAACTGAGAACCAGAAAGGCGGAGATGCCCAAATGGGGATAGGTGCAGGATCTTGGATAGAGGGCAGGAATAGGTCCGGAGATTTGGGGATCTGGAAGGCAGGGCAGAAACAGGACTGAGATATGTGAGGTGGTGGATGTAGTCCAGAATCCAAGAGGAGGTAAAGTCCGGATGTCTTGCTGGACAGAATGTGTGTAGGGTGGACAGGATAGGGGATCCAGGAATGAGTCAGATATGGGGTCCAGAAACAGGTCCAGAAAGCATGGGAATATGATGGGATCTATGTCTTGCATATGGGATATGACAGATTTAGAGTTGAGAGTCTGGAATGGCATATGACACCTACTAATGACATGGTGCAATGGGTGTGAGATGGCCACTTCTATTCTCACTGCAACTCAAATTGATCCCATTAACTTTGCATTTGATGATCTCTTCTCTGATCCAGGCCTTAATATGTGACATCCATTTGGACTGAACAAATACTTGGGGGTCTTGGGAGAGGACAAGAATTCTAGTGCATTTGTCCCCTTAGCACTGTCTGTATGTATCATGTTCAATGACCATGCTACTGAGACAGAAGCCAACATGCAAGAGGGCAATGATATAGAGCTGATGCTAACTTTAAAGAGGCTTTGACTGCAGAGTCTGTTTCTGATGCTCCCCCTACCCAACACTCTCCCCTTTGTGTTGAGGCATTAGCTCCTCTATTGCCACAAGGTCCAGGTATTTGTCTTGACAACTACCTTCTTTTCAGAGGTCAATGGATCCATAAGCAGATGATCTGTCATCTTGTCATCAATAAAGATTTCATCTTGAAGTCATTCAATCAACTTGAACATGTACATTCCAGCTATACAAAAGTTAACAATCAGATTGACATGTCTGCAGGATTGTTAAGGTCATACTCAAGGGCTAATGAATCCTAAGGGCTTTGGTCTCAGTTTGTGTGCTGTGTCCCTTACCTAAGTATTGTTCCTTATTTCAGGAGGACAAGACTAATGTGTCTAGAGGGTCAGACAAGTAGCATATTAGATCTGGATGACTTCTGGATGTAGGATAATAAGACTAATCCGGATGAGTCCAGACTAGAAACTATCAGTAATGGACTATTGTAGACAGAGGTAGATGTGGATAGACTATAGGAATCAATCCTAAGTCTTGGAGGGTAATGAGAGTAGAGGTACTCAGGTCTGGAGGACAGGAATGAGCAGAACTAAGATGATATTCAAACTGAGGTGCTACAGAGATTTACAGGAGGTTATATGTTGTAGGTATCTAATAGAATGATCAATTAGCAGGGTCTGGGGCTATGTACAAAGTATATGGATAGTCTATTGGTAAGTAGGAACAGATCACTAATAATGAAACAGAAATGAAACATAGGTAACGGTATAGGAAACATAACAAGAAGAAAACTGGAAAGTAGCCTTCTAAAGTTGGATCAAATGTACTATGCCTAGCTTTTATTCAACCCTAAAGGGTTTCTGGACTAAGCTCAGTGCTCAGAGAGGATAGGAAATCATGCTAATAACTCTCAGTCTCAGACTGGTACTGGTAGGTGGTGAAAACTATGATGATTACATAAGCACCAAAAGTGCAAACATAACACTAAGTAATATCTGCCTATACAAGCCCACAGTAAATGAAATCCCTACAATGGATCAGTGAGCAGGGCAGATATACAGATAACCAAAGTACCAGAGTCAGGAGATTACCAAAAGGAGATGAGTGCTGGTTGTGGATTCAGATGAGTTGTGGACCAGACTGGACAAGTGGATAGATTGGATGAGGGGATGTTGGATGGAGATAAAATGTGGATTGGATCTGAGATCCGGATATGCAGATATGATAGGGGTGCATCACTAACAGTAATTTATTCCTTATTAAAGACATTTTCCTCACTATTCTTCAATCAGGTCACACTCTATCTATCAGCATACTTTGTTCTATGGTGCTGACACTTAGCAATGTGTTGTATGCATCAATTAATGCTGGGGTGATGAAAGCTTCTGGGATGACTGTGAAAAAAAACTGGCCAACTCCTTACCATAATTCCAACAAACCATCCTTCATCTGAGTCTCAACAACTATTTCTATGAAACAGGGAATATGTCAAAGCCCACTCCATTATCCAGGGTACACCAGGATCAATTGTCACCAATCATGTGATCATTCTCACTGTCCCTGGTTCCCTTGTTGAGCCAATTAACCCCAAACCTACCTTCTTATGCTTGTGTGGAAATCAACAGAGACCAGAGCACTTGGCAAGTCTCATAATGCATACTCCAAGCTGCATGTGAGCTCTTGTGGGTGAAGGTGGTGGAGATCAAAGTCCCTCTCAAGGGCATTGTGTCAGTCACTCCCATGGATATCAAGATCTTCCCATGTCAGTTGTCCAATGGTATGTTCTATGTCTTCTTATCATGACTTCTACTGACATTTTCAGGTTCTCTTGCCATTATTTGCATTGAGGGAAGCAACCTATTGGCAGCATCTGATGGGGAGTGTATCACTACATGCCCCCTTTGCCTTCCCAAGATCACTGACATGTATTCACATATTGGTGTGCTTATTCTTTGCTCACTCAGGAACATACCTAAGGAGACTGCATTGATGGAGAAGATATGTATTTTTAAGAAGATTCTATCACTGCAGGCATTTTCCAATTTTCCTCCAACAAACATCCAAAAGAATTGATTAAGAAGATAGAAATTTCCTCTCATGTTGCCTGTTGAAGCATTGAAAAAAAAATATTCATGTGTTAAAGATTTTCTGTACATGGGACATGATGCAAAAATTGGACATGTTCCTTCAAGAATAATACTGGATTTTCTATCTATTGTCTTCTAAATAGCAGTTTACAATAATGTTAAATTTTTTGTCCAAATATACTATGTTTTCAAATGTTTTGTATATATTTGAAAATGCAGACCAGAAATTTCAAGAAACCAGAATTCTTGAAAGTCCACCAGGTCTATCTGTCTACCCACCTGTCTGGCAGGAGGGTCTGTCCATCTGTTGGTCTGTTGACAATGCAACCAAATGTCATATCCCATATGCCAGAACACCAAACAACACAATTAAGTACATACTAGATGCAGCAGTGTCACTGCCCTTCTCACTCTAACCACCATCATCCTCACTGTTAAGAACCATGCTCAAGGGAGAGAGAGACTGACTCAGAGGGGTTTGGCCTCAGCTCATATGCTGTGCCCCTTACCCAAGTATGTGTCCTTCATTTCAGATGAAGTCCAATGATAGTTTGGTAAAGTCTGAAGGACTTCCAGAGGCTGGCTACTCTGGTGGAGTGCGGGAGGACTTCTGGATGAGTGCAGGAGAGTTCCAGAGGAGTATGGAAAATACTCAGAGGAGTTCCCATTGCACAGGAAGTGAAGAGACCCCAAGGTAATATCTCTATGGGAAATAGGATGGAAGGGTAGGAGGTCTGGAGGTCTGGAAGTATGGAGGACAGGAGGACTGAAGGTCTGGAGGACAAGATGTCTGGAGGTACACAGGACAGGACATGGAGGTATGGAGGACAGGATGTCCAAGGGTTAGGAGGACAGGACATCCTAAGGTACAGAGGGCAGAACATCTGAAGGACAGGACATCCGGAGGTCCAGAAGGAATAGGGGCTACATTGGACAGAGTCTGATATAGAAAGAAACAGAGGTAGACTACCCTAAGGTAGAGTTGGAGAGACAGGAAGTGGACCAAAGTCTAGAAAGAGGGTAAGTGCTGGAAAGGCAAGACTCCAGCCTAGGGAAGCAATCCCTAGACTTGGGACAGAGACATAGGGGACAAATCCAAAGATCCAGAATTCTGGCCTAGGGAATCCATCCTTAGGCCTTATGGAAAAGGACAAGCTCAGATGGACTGAAGTCCAGAAGAAGATTGGGCAAGTCTAAGGTAATATTCAGACTGAGGACTCTACTGGAGTTGTACAGAGGTTATATACTAGAGGCTATCTGAGAGGATCAGTAAACAACAGAGTAAGGCTATGTATGAGCATGCAGAAACACATTAGTAAGTGAGACAGAACATAAGTAAATGAACTTAGAGATGAAACTAGTACAAGGATCAATCAGCAAGACAGAAACAGAGATAACTAAGAACTGGAAAGGTAGAGATGCCTAAATGGGGATAGGTGCAGGATCTTGGATGGAGGGTGGGAATAGGTCCAGAGATAGTAACAGTTAATATCCAGAGGTCTGGAGATCTGGGGATCCAGAAGGCAAGATAAAAACAGGACTGAGATATGTGAGATGGTGGATATAGTCCAGATGTCTTGCTGGACAGAATGTGCATATGGTGGACAGAATAGCGGTGTATGGATCAGGCTCATAGTGAGAATATGGAGGTCTGGAGCTCAGGGGCAAATCAATAGCAGAGCTAATCCTGCTGAGGTGTGGAGCACACAGTGGAAGGGGATCTGGGAATGAGTTGGATATGGGGTCTGGAAATAGGCCTGGAAGGCACAGGAATATTATGGGATCTAGGTCTGGCATACAGGATATGACACAATGTCAGGCTATCAAACTGTTAAAGATTTTTATGTGTGTGTGTTGTGGAGTAATAGATGTTGCCTTGAAAATGTGTATACTGAGCTAGCACTATGGAGCATCTAGTATCTGTTCAGTCTGAACTATTGAGTGTTTGGATGTAATCTGTGGGGAGCCATTATTGGATTACATGAATCACATACAAACCAATCCAGTGCATCAAGAGAGACATTATGAATGACTTGGATGATGGAAGATTGATCCATTGACTCATTTGAAAGTGTAATGTGCATTGCATCAATGGCAAGAAATTATATTGTTTGTTTTTTATTCTATGCAACATCACATCATTCAATTCAAACTCAGTTTTACCAGTCCATCTATTAACAGCTTGCCTCATAAACAGGCTGGTCACCAGTCCAGCATGATGTTCATGCGACACTGAATTTACAGGATTGTATAAAACATCACACTTCAGAGACACACTGCATCAACTGCAAGTGTACCTACCCTACTGGCCAGACAAGAGATTACCTTGAAGGATATCCTTTGGCATCTTTTCCTAGAGCCATGTCTTGAACACCTCTTCATCATCCATTGTAGCCAGATCAGATGAGCCTCCATATTTGTAAACCATCCCTAAGCACTCCTTTGCAACTCACCAGGACACTTCATGCAATATTGGTGTGTGTAGCCTCTTGCTATAGATCCCTTGAAATATAAAGGCAGCCTTTTCTTTTGCATATCCAAGAGCATTCACCATCAGCCATTCATCCAGTGGTCTGTCCTTACTGAGGAGGTTACTACCTTTATATTGAAGACAGATCCATGTGAGGACCCAGATGAAGGATTTAACATCATGCCAGTACACATGCTCAACTTGACCTGTGATGACTTCTGATATGAGAAGGTCTAACAACATGAATAGTACCATTTCTGTGTGCTCAAAGTCTCTGGGACAATCTTGTTTGATTGAAGACATTAATTGTATGATTGATGATAGGACAAAATCATAAAGGATGCTGATAAATCAACCATCAAAGTGATATCCCATAAGATTGCTGGGGCTGATGTTGCAGTGATGTATGTCCCTCTTCCAGAGGGCATAATGACCTGTCAGAGTGATAAGTAGATGATAAAGAACATGAAAAGGACAGAACACTTACACTTGACAGCCTCCCACCATGCAAGAAGGAACTCTTTCCCACTCAACATCATGATTGGGTCAAGCTTCTTGAACATGATAAGGTATAGGGTGTGGCTGCCTATATCATTGATTCCTAGTGCTTTTTTACTTATTTCCATAGACATTCTTCAAACTTGTGACACAGAACCATCTCTGGAATGTGACCCAACACATTCAGATTGTCTTGTGCAATCTCATAGACCTCTTTGAGGATCTTGGGCTCACTCTGGTGTGCCTCCTCTGGCCAAAAGAGCTTGGCAACAAATTTGGTGGACTGGTTATGAAAGTGAGACCACTGTGGCAGAGCCAATATGATCTTCTGTGCTATACTTGACTCATTATAGAGGTGCAGCTGTCATTTCAACACCAGGTGGGAGGGGAGGCATATCAGGAATGATCACTGGTTTCTTATCCAGACACCAAAGGATGTCATGAATACCTTTGGCATGTAAGAGCTGTAATATATATCCTTCCCTCAACTTGTCATAGGGTTCCTCCTATGTATCCTTGCAGACAATGCCAAATGGTTTCCTGAGCTTCATACCTGGGGGACTCTTACACCCATCTTCACTATGGCCATAGAAATCAGCTACTTGGTTGCCTATGACCTTCAGTAGTTGAATGGTGAAGCCATAGCTATTGACTTTGGCTGTCATATGCAGTACAAGCTGCAATTATAGGTCTCATAGGCCTTGCTCATTTGATCAATTAATACACACATATACATACACTCTCTTACTTATTTGGTCTTCCTTAGAGAACTTTGACATGATTTTAAAGGGGCCAGTTAGAAGCTAGACAATGAAATATACAGGCCAATGACTTATAGAGACTATAAGGGGAGCATCCTTTTCCCCTCTTGCATTCACAGACTGAATGCCCACATCATCTGAGCCTTTTGTCCTTAGTTCCTCAAGGAACTAGTGAAGTGTCCCAGAACCAATCCTTTCGCTGCTCATCTATTGTAAATGGTTTATTTTGGACCTGTTGCAACACACATCAGTGGGAGGTAAAATAAATTATGAAAGATGAACTTGCTACCTGTTGGACAGGCTACCTCCCAGTATCTCCCACTTCAACCAGTCTACAATCCAAGGCTTGGATTTAGACTCCTCCAAGCTTGAATCCACATTCTTAGACAATGATTGCATAGTATTAGATTTTAAAAATGTTGATGAGGGTGAGAAAATGTAAGAAAGGTGAGAAACCAGAAAGGTTGAAAGGTTCTGTTGCCTCCTTTCTCTTTCAACAGCTATATTATCAGGATCATTCCTACCAGCTTACAATCATAGAAGACATCTTATACACAGGCACTGAGGAAGCAGGTTACTGAGTGGCAGGGGTGTTTATTATGTCACCACTTATATCAAGGAACTTATTAATTACCTGATGACTGTCATCAAGTAATTGTCATTTCTCTCTACATGTTTTGTTGTATTAATGTGTATTATAGGTATAATTGCATTAATGATACTGCTTCTTTACTGTCCTTCACTTGTATCATGGCACCAAAATTCAATCCTGAACTCTTATGCAAGAAAGGAGAGGGAACTTGTAACCACAGTCACCATATAGCTCCTATAATGATGGTAGAAAAGTTTGGAAAGTTATGTGGTAACCATGTCTACTATTGTATTAATGCTGGCTGTGGGAGGAATTGGTATTCCACACCAGGTAAAAAACATTCCCTGGAAGACTATGCTCAACTTACTATACCTTTACCAAACACAGATTGTTAACTGGCCTGCAGGTGTCTCCTGTAGGCTCCAATTTCAGACTAAATCCAGTAAGGACATGCCTCAGCTTGTTTGCCCTTTCCAATATGTTAATGTGCGACAAGGAGGTAAGGCTACATCCAGATGACGTTCCGTGGGTCCAGATTTGAGGACAAGGAACAATCCAGATGAAGTTGGGCTAGAAACTCATAGAGGAACAACCTAAGGTATGACGGAAGGTGTAGTCTAGGATACAATCCTCAGACTTGGATGATGACAAGAGAACTAACTCAAGTCTGGAGGGCACAGAAATGAGCAGGAACTAAGATGATATTCAAACTGAAGTATTTCCAAGAGTTACAGGAGGTTTATATACTGTAGGTATCATACAGGAATCAGTCAGCAAACACAAAGGCTATGTACAAAGCATATGCAAAGTCTATTAGTAAGTAGGATGGATCACCAATAATGAATACCAGAAATGAAATGTATGTAACAGATTAGTAATCAGAAGGGAAACATAGTTAACCAGGGTCTGGAGACAGAGGAAGTCTAAATGGGGTTGGACGCTGATATAAGGTTTGGATTCTGGAAGAGAGATAAAGATAGATCAGATCATTAGAGATCCAGATCTTGGATCCAGATATCTGGAGAAGTGGATTTAGAGTTAAGAGTCCAGAATGGCATATGACATAAATGCACCTATTGGCCCCTACTTAAAATGCTACATGGGCACTCAATATCATGCAAAGCTTGCTGATATAAGAACATCTGCTAGCTTGGCCCCTATTCATTTTCCTTTACTTCTCACATCTCACTGGACCTTCTATTCTTGGGTGATCACCCATTCCATTTTCTGGCTTGTTCTCATTTCTTCTTACTTGCATTGCCTTCACCAATTGTCATGATGGTGGTACCATTCTTTTGGTTAGTCTAATGACTTACCGACCCTATGCCCTTACTGCCTAACTGGTACTCCTTACTTACTTTGGTATTCTGACTCATTGTGACTTGTCTCCCCTATGCCCTTACTACCTGACCAGTACTCATTACTTACTTTGGTATTTTGACTCACTGTGACTTGTCTCCCCTTTACCCTTACTGCTAATATGGCAGACCTGCCCTTATCCCCTCCAATGATATATATATCTATTGGGTAGCACTTGTATTCTCTAACTTGATTCTAGCTATTCCTTTTCAAAAGCCCTAAGCAAGCTTTTACTCTTTGTCAAGTATCTTCATTGGAGCTCATCATTGCTAACATCTCTAGAAGAGAATGATCAACAACATGCCATTGTAATCATTGATAATCAATAGAGCCTAGATAGCTAGATCAATTGCTGTCAACTCACACCATCAAACACTTACTGGTTACAGCAGGCTTGGTGTGAGCCCCAATCCAAGTTCTATATTACTCACTTGCTTCATTTGCTTATCACAGACTTAGCTTAATCATAACACTTACTCATATTGAACACCTAGAACTAAAAAAAGGAAAGATAAGTGAAGGTTCCTGAGAAAGAGTTAATACTTGTGCCTTAGTCAGATGGTAAGATTGAACTTAGCTATATCATGGGATGACTCACTGGAATTTTGACAGAGTTAAAAGAATTGATAGACAACAAATATTCTGCAATGTTAAACACCCCCCTGATCACTGACACAGATGGTAATGTCCAGCACACTCTAATGGATTGCATTCTATTTATGAAGAATCTTCTAGCTAATATTGAGCCATCAAATTCTGCTGGTTCCCATCACAATTCTCTGAGTTCTCAGCCTTTCTCATCACTTACCTGGTCACCTTTTTTACCATGTCATGATTACCAACAGGTCTTGCCACCTCCTTATTCTATCCCTACCAGAGTCACCCCTCATTAATCTTCATGGCAGCAAGGTATTACTATCATGCATGGTTCAGACCACCAACATATGTCTCAAACTACTCACCCTATACCTGCCTTACTGAATCTCACAAGGTTCCAGAATTCTCACCTGTCTGAAAGTGTTGATAAGATGAGAGTGATAGTGATAATACCAAGGTCAGCAGACAAATATAGAGCAGTGCTATATAGTATGTCTTTGCCTTGCCACATAGACCCTCTGCTCATGACCATGACTGGTTATCATTCATAGCACTATCTACATCATCATTATAGCCTATCACTACCTATGCACCTATCTTATCAACATGCCTGTCCTCAGTCCAGACCTTCTATTTATTACTAGTATGCATATACCCAAGAGTCTACATCTACTGCTGGTTCATCATGGCCTTGTACCAAGGTTTGGGTATCCCTGGCAGAAGAGGATGGTGAGGATGATAATAAAGATGGAGTTTATAATTGTGATCTCCACAATGATTATTAGTCAACTTTGTTACTAATTCTGTGATGTTGCTGTTCTCCCAGAGCCATCTGATATTGTATGAATTTGTCTTGTAATATTGTGTGAAAGAAGCTTGTCATGACTATTAAACATCATTCTGGTACTTGTAAAGGACAGTCACAAATATTAACTTGGAAATTCCTAATATAAGGATAGATATAAATTGGGACTTCTCACAATGAGAGTATGTGAGCCTGGGAATCCCTGACATAAGAATACATATAGTGAGAATTCCCAGTCTGAGAATATATATGGATTGGAAATTCCTGACATTAGAACATATATAAAGTAAGAAATCCCAGTATGAGATTCATATGCATGAGCCTAGGAATACCTGATATTACAATATATGTGGATTAGGATTTCTAGCCTGAGAATATGTGTGAGCCTGGAAAATCCTGATATTATAATATATATAAAGTGAGAATTCCCAGCCAGTGAATATGTGTGAGCTGTTACAAGTACCCTATTCTTTTTCCCATCATCACTGTGAACGCCTAATGGCTATACTATTAACACTTCCTTTTTGCCTTACTATTTCCTCATGTTACTTCCTTATCTCTGACTCATACTGTGTTCTCTCATGAACCTTCCCTTCTTAGTACTTGTTACCCTTTGCCTAGCTTGGTCTGTGCGCACTTCCCTTACATATATAAACCCTAGTTACTACTTGTATTCTCTCTAACTTGAATCTACTCAGTTCTCTTTGATACTCAAACTCTAGCTCCTTCTAGTCATTGTCCCATTGAAACTCTAGATCCTACAGGAGTCTAGATGATTGCTCCTGAGGAAGGCATTGACTTGACAAGGTCTTATCCTTGGTTGACCTTGATCTTGATTCCTTTATTGGAACAATGCTCTATCCAAGTTCATAACATGAGCCTGGGAATCCCCAACATTACAACATATGTGGATTGGGAATTCCTGACATTACTATAAGGATAGCATATCCTCTGCACCTGCATAATACTTTAAATCAAGACACTGTTGTCCACACAACTCAGTGATGCAAACAGTGTCACACTTCACATCTGAGTTACAGGGATACATATCTCCCAACTCAATCTCAGTCAATGATGCTGAGATCATCATACTTCCCAACACTGTTGACTGATCTGCTGGCTGCTGTCATCTGAGATGAGGTGCATTTTGATATTTATATTTTGTCTTCTTTCACAAACATTGGGATACTTTTTGAGCTACTGTATGTTAAAGTTCATGATGTTATATGGGTTTATATATGCAAATGATATTAAAATCAGACCAAATATTGATTATTGTACCACTTCTATCAAGAATAATATGTGTGAATGGTCTGATTTTATAATTTGGATATAAAGTCAACAAGTGTCCAAATGAGTCATGTGATTAGAATTATCATATCTTGTCCATATAAGGTCTAATTCCCACGATATATATTTCAGATTATAGCTATGATATCAAGCTTTCAGACATCTCCCTATGCCATTATATTGTACTTAGGTGCTGGCTTGCTATTATCCAATTACTTGAAAATGCATAAACATTTGGACACTTTTGAGCCACTGTATGTACAAGCATGTGGAAATATATTAGTAAGTAAGATGGAACAAGAGATAACTGAAAGCCAGATAGGCAAAGATGTCTAAATGGAGATAGGCACAGGATATTGGACAGAAGGTGGGAATAAGTCTGGAGATAGTTACAGTTAATATCTGGAGGTCTGGAAATCTGGAGATCTAGAAGATGAGATGGATACAAGACTAGGATATGAGGAGGTGGATATAGTCTGGAATCTGAGATGAGGTGAAGTCCAGATGTCTTGCTGGTATAAGAGTGCATATGGTGGACAGGATAGGGGTGCACAGATTAGGCTCACAGTGGAGATCCAGAGGTCTAAAGCTCAGGGGTAATTCCATAGCAGTGCTGATCCTGCTAAGATATGAAGCAGACAGTGGAGGGGGATCTGGGATGAGTTAGGGTCTAGACATAGGCTTGGAAGGCATGGGAATATGGGTCTGGATTGTAGGATATGACAGTCAAGTAAGGATATCATAGAACCTAAGCATACAATAGAGTAATAAAAGAGAATGGAAAAAATATATGTACATACAATAAGCTCAACACTGGTGACTGAGACTGGGTTGGGAGTGCTAGTGACTGAAATGGGGTTGAGAGATGCAGTTATTCTAGCATCATTGACTGAGATTGGGTTGGTAGTGCTAGTGGCTGAGATAGGATCAGGAGATGCAGTGGGTGATCTCAGCACTGGTGACTGAGATTGAGTTAGGAGCACTAGTGACCGAGATTCCTTGTTTCTGAGCTTTCTCCTTCTCTTGGAGACAGCTCAAAGTTACATTGTAGCTTCAGTGACTGGCTTGGACATGGCCAAAATAGTCTCCTGTGCATGAGGATATAATCAGGGTAAATAACAGTAACAACAATTAAGAACTTACAATATAAGCTGGGGCCTTGGCACCTATTTCTGTCAATGTGTCATATGCCATTTTGGACTCTCAACTCTAAATCTGCTTCTCTGGATATCCAGATCTCAAATGATCTGATCTATCTTTATCTCCCTTCTGGAATCCAAACCTTATATCAGCGCCCAACCCCATTTAGACTGCCCCTGTCTCCAGACTCCAGTTAACCATGTTTCCCTTTTGATTATTGATCCAGTTACATACATTTCATTTCCAGTGTTCATTATTTGTGATCCATCCTACTTACTAATAGACTCTGCATAAGCTTCATACATAGCCTTTATGTTTGCTGACTGATTCCTATATGATACCTACAGTATATAAACCTCCTGTAACTCTCGGAAATACTCCAGTTCAAATATCATCTTACAGTGGCTCAAAAAACTGTCCACATGTTTTTGCATTTTTTACTATTTACAATATTGTGTGAGAATACATAAAGACCTCAGTGAGATGCTAATACCATATTGTAGTGCTGCTTCAGGGCTTTGAATTGAGCACCACATCGTGAGAATCAGAGGAGATATGGTGGAGATACAAGGCTTACAAAATCATGACTCATGTGGACAGTTTTTTGAGCACATATTAAAACTATATAAATCATCATTTATGACACCATAACAATCATGCCACCATTAAATAAATTATAAAGTGGTGTCATTATGTCATTTTAAAACCATATCTAACTATACAAACCAAAAATTTCCATATGTCATGGTTATATTCACCATGAAAGCCACCCCCCCTGCTCAAAGGGATAATATCCTCTCTCTTTCCTATTCTGGCCTCTCTGCTTGTCAAATTTCCTCTAGAACTGGAGTATCCAAGTCCACTGTGGCCAAGTTCATCAAAGAAAGTCACACAGACAAGGAAAACCTCTGTGAAGGGTGTCCATCCAAGCTCACCTCTACTGATAGGAGGGCTATTATTCAACATATCACTACAGGAAAGGCTGATAATGCTGTCCAGGTCACCTATTACATCAATTCCACCATCACATTCCCTGTCTCTTCACACACTGTGAGAAACATTCTCAAGACAGCTCATCTCAGGTCAGTAGCAAGGAAGAAAAGGCTCTCCTCTCTATCACACATATGCAGAGAGGACTAGCACCCTTCTTGTTTCACATATATACCTTGCCATCTGACCCAATCCTATTTATTGTGGTCTTATATGATCATATAACATGCTTCCAGTCTGTGTAATCCAATTCTGATGGGCTAAGGCAAAGGTTAGTCATCTCTGTTTATGTGTGATAGAGAGGAAAGTCTTTTCTTCCTTGCTACTGACCTGAGATGAGCTGTCTTGAGAATGTTTCTCACAGTGTGTGAAGAGACAGGGAATGTGATGGTGGAATTGATGTAATAGGTGACCTGGACAGCATTATCAGCCTTTCCTGTAGTGATATGTTGAATAATAGCCCTCCTATCAGTAGAGGTGAGCTTGGATGGACACCCTTCACAGAGGTTTTCCTTGTCTGTGACTTTCTTTGATGAACTTGGCCACAGTGGACTTGGATACTCCAGTTCTAGAGGAAATTTGACAAGCAGAGAGGCCAGAATAGGAAAGAGAGAGGATATTATCCCTTTGAGCAGGGGGGGTGGCTTTCATGGTGAATATAACCATGACATATGGAAATTTTTGGTTTGTATAGTTAGATATGGTTTTAAAATGACATAATGACACCACTTTATAATTTATTTAATGGTGGCATGATTGTTATGGTGTCATAAATGATGATTTATATAGTTTTAATATGTGCTCAAAAAACTGTCCACATGAGTCATGATTTTGTAAGCCTTGTATCTCCACCATATCTCCTCTGATTCTCACGATGTGGTGCTCAATTCAAAGCCCTGAAGCAGCACTACAATATGGTATTAGCATCTCACTGAGGTCTTTATGTATTCTCACACAATATTGTAAATAGTAAAAAATGCAAAAACATGTGGACAGTTTTTTGAGTCACTGTAGTTCCTGCTCATTCCTGTGTCCTCCGGACTCAAGATAAGTCTCTTGTCATATTCTGAGTCTTAGGATTGCATCCTAGACTACATTTCAGACTCTACCTTAAAGGTAGTCCATTGTCTGTTAGTTTCTAGTCCGGACTTCAGTCCGGATTAGTCTTATCCAGCTTGCCCAGGTAACATCTGGACATCCATCGGGTTTATCTCATGTTTCAGATCTGGACATCCATTATCTGCCCTGATTAAATCCTGGAAACTCTGGATGACTGTTCTAGCCCCCAGAAATTAAGGGCACATACTCGGGAAAGGGGCACAGCATACAAGCTGAGGCCAAGCCCTTGTGATCCAACCCCCTTGAGCATGCGACCTTAACACTTTGGAGGAGCCTATCAACCCAGCTTCCTCAATTATTCTCTTCATGGACAAGACTGCACAAGGTTGCCAGGCCTGCTCCAGAGCAAATCTTACTATGTCAGCTTGTTGACTAAACGGCAGTAGATTAAATGGTGTGGATATGGGAATGTTGGACAATCTGTCATCTGAACTCTCAGTGATCTGTATGATAGACTAAGACAAACTGATGTGAGTATGCATCAAACAAAGATGAGCAACTCACCTTCATTCCCACCTTCCCTTTTACATTAGTAGACAGGTGCTTTTCAAAGTCTTCATTGTCCCCATCTCCATCTTCTTCATTGCCTCCATCCTTGCCATTGTCTGATATGGAATTGTCTGACAAATCTATCAAGGAAAGGGGTGGGTCTTTTGCAAGTGAGACCATGGTTGCCACAGTCTGACTTGTCTTTAGAGTTGTCACTGACAAAACAGAGCCACCTGAAGGTTCAGTTTCAGGTCTCACAACAGGGGACACTTTTGACTTGGTTTCAGGTTCCACATGAGTGCACCAGTTGTTGACCTTTCCTGTCAAACCGAATTTTTTACTACTAAGTGCCCAAATCAAGGTCACAGTGTGGATTCAGTGAGCATTAACATGATGGTGAGAAGATAAATTCACTGATGGTAAAGGATTTCCTTTCTTGTCAGTACCAGTCCCTTTGACTCACTGATCACTACCAAGGATTGTAGCACCAATTGCCTCATGCACCTTCTTGATCTTCTTCAGCAGCTTTGCAACTCATTCCTAACTGCTTCAAGATCTCCTTCACCCACATCACCAGCATCCTGGCCCTTCATGCCACCTTGACTCTGAGCCAGTGCTGGAGGCACAGGCAGACTCCCAGAGGTAAGTTCACTAGCTGCACCTACCCTATCTGTCTTTTTCTTGACTGGCCTAGCATGAGGCTTTACTGGCTTCACTTTTTCAGTCACCTGGATGCCCTGCTCCAACTCCATGACAGCCTCAATGCTTGCAATATGATCAATTCCACACTGCAAATCAGCTTCCTGTGTGTCCTGTGCATCCTTGGCATGCTGTTTATCCTCCTTGATCTGGGCTTGGGTGCATCATTTTTGTTTACCTTCAAGAAGCACAAGCCCAGGGTGTTGTGTGGCATTTTTGACATGTGTACAGCGAGGAGAGAGGGGAGGTGCCATGGCAGATATAAATGACAGGCAAGGACAGAAGAGGAATGTGGCAAATGACAGTGATAAAAGGTAAGTCAAAGTAAGTTGAATGTACAAAATTTCCTAAATGCAAAAAAAACAACCCTTCAGTAGCACTCAATACTGATTTTCCAAGTCTGCCTATACTCACTACAGGTATGTGTACTCACCTCCAACACAGGCTAGTCAACTTAAGCTATCAGACAGTTCCTTCTGTGCTTAGTCTCCAGTCCAGTCAACTGAATTCTTCCATACATCACTCAAGGCAAGGGCATACCACCTGTCTCAGTAAGTCAATCAAATTCTTCCACACATTACACTCAAATGTCTACTCAAGGAAAGGGTGTACCACCCTCCCTCCTGTGCTCAACCTCCTCTGGTCAGTCAACCAGATTCTTCCACCCATCACTCAAGGCAAGGGTGTACCACCCCTCCATCCTGCATTCAGTCTTAGTAAGTCATTCAAATTCTTTCACATATCACACTCAAATGTCTACTAAAATATGTCTACTCAAGGCAAGGGCATACCGCAACAGGTTCTTGGCACCATGTCACAATCACCCCGAGAGCCTAGCAGTCTTTGTATCTCTTGTATGAAGCCAGGGTGCAACTGCTGGTTTAGAAATTGGTCAGGGTACACTCAACATATGAATGCAAAGCATCCTGCTTTCTTAACACCACCTTGTCCACCAAGTTTTGGGCTTGTCCCTGATATCACAGATCACAACTTTGGTGACACCAGTCCCATGGATGACGAAGATCCTCTGCAATCAATGGCAGAATTTTTAGGCACTGGCGATCAGTTGTATAGGAATTACTATCCTTTCCTGTTGGTAAGTTGTTCAACCATTCAATTTTTGTTAAATGATACTAAAAAATATACCTACATCTACATAGCTCACCCTTGTGATCCTGACAGCACATTCCTTCCACCAGGAACTCCTCCACCACCACTCACAGAAAAGTCACTGGATGACTGGACTCCCTGTGGAAGCTGTGTCAAATTCAAGCTTGCTGACTACCTGTTTACAAGGAATCAAACTCCCACATATTCAATCAATCAACTCCTGAACATTTGGGCAGCTTCCTTAGTCCTAGCTGGGAGTAAATTCATGCTGTTTTCTGATCATTGCAACCTCTACAAGACAATTGACAATGCTCCCCTTGGTGATGTCAAATGGCAGTCTTTTTCAGTCAAATACACTGGCACCATTCCAGATGAAGATGCCCTGTCCTGGATGGAAGATTCTGTTAAGGTTGTACTCAAAAGATAACTGGATCTGAAGGGCTTTGGCCTCAGCTCATGTGCTGTGCCCCTTACCCAAGTATTGCCCCTTATTTCAGGAAGGCAAGACTAATGCGTCCAGAAGGTCAGACGAGTATTGTGATGGATCCAGATGACTTCCGGATGTGGGATAGGTATTGTAGGGCTAATCCAGACAAGTCCAGACTAGAAACTAACAGTATAGACTGTCAGAGACAGAGGCAGATATGGATAGACTATAGGAATCAATCCTAAGTCTCAGAGGGTGACGAGAGTAGAGGTACCCAAGTCCAGAGGACAGGAATGAGTAGAACTAAGATGATATTTGAGCTGAGGTACTACAGAAAGTTACAGGAGGTTATATACTATATGTATCTAACAGAATGATCAATCAGCAGAGTCCAAGGCTATGTACGAAGCATGTGGATAGTCTATTGGTAAGTAGAAACAGATCACAAATCATGAAACAGAAATGAAACATAGGTAGTGGATCAGGGAGCAGGACAGATATACAGATAACCGAAATACCAGAGTTAGGGAGTTACTGAAAGGAGACGAGTGCTGGTTGTGGATTCAGATGAGTTGTGGACTGGACCGGACAAGTGGACAGATTGAATGACGAGATGTTGGAGGGGGATAAGATGTGGATAGGATTGGAGATAAGATGTGGATCTGAGATGAGATAAGGGTCAGATCTGAGATCCGGATATGCAGATATGACAGATTCTCATGATGTTTGGTTTTACAACCCCTGCGATGTTGTTCAAAACATGCTTGCTAATCCAGAGTTTGCTACAGAGATGAACCTTCAACTCTACCGCAAGTTCACAACAGAGAATGATGAACACCAATGGAAAGATTTCATGTCTGGAGATTGGAGCTGGGCTCACACTGTATGTATTTCATTATTTTATTATGTGCAGTTTAGCCAAGGTATTTACAGGACAAAATATCCAAAGATCCTGACACTCATGGCTTAACATTTGTGCCAGTCATTCTTGGAAGTGACAAAATGACTGTTTCAGTTGCAACAGGACAGAATGACTACTATTCGCTCTACACCTCTATCGGTAATGTTCAAAATAATGTGTGTCACACTCATCGCGGTGCTGTAGCTGTTATAGGCTTTCTTGCAATGCCCAAAAGTAAGTGGTGACTTACTCCCTGTTGCATCATTCTGACATCTTGAAAGTGATCAAAGAGCATGCTGAGACACCAGGCTTCCGAAATTTTCAATGCCAACTCTTTCATTCTTCACTTTCATTCATCCTCAAGAACCTCAAGCCTGCTATGACAAAGCCTGAGGTTGCACAGTTCAGGGATGGCCATTATCAGCATGTGATCTACAGACTTGGACCTCACATTGTGGATTATGAAGAGCAAGTGCTGCTCACCTGTATATTACAAAATTGGTGTGCCAAGTAAGTTTTTCTTGATAATCCACTGTTGTTTATGCTTATGCCAAGCAAGGTGTCTTTCACATCACAGAAACCTTGATGATATCAGTCTCTGTCACTCAAGATCTCACATGGATGCACTCATTGAGGAGTGCAACTCTGGAACCCTGAAGTCCAAATATGGTTTAGTTGGTGAGCTTGTGGTACCTCACTCCCTCATTTTTATTTACACTTAGATTCACTCATGAATATAGCCATTTACAAATGATTTCCCCCATGCTGATATTCATGAGCTGCTCACACCTGACATTCTCCATCAGCTCATCAAGGGAGCATACAAAGATCATTTGGTTGAGTGAGTAGAGAAATATCTCCTGCAGATGCATGGAAAGAAGCAAGCTAACATTATTCTAGATGATATTGACTGAAGGTGCATTTTCTCTATTGTAATTTCACTTTGACTTAATTTTTTGTAGGATCGCAGCAGTTCCTCCATTCCCTGGATTGCGCAGATTTCCCCAAGGACATCACTTCAAACAGTGGACAGGTGACAACTCAAAAGCACTTATGAAGGTAATCTACATTTTGTTCTATGTAAAACATTGTAGCACTAATTGTCCTAAGGTTTACTTACCCACAATTGAAGGTTATGTCCTGGTTGATGTTGTGTGTGCCTTCCAGGCATTACTTGAGTTCTGTTACCTCATTCATTGTAATGTCATCACCAAAAAATCCCTCTCTGAAATTGAAGATGTGCTTACTTGTTTTTGCACATATCACAAGGTTTTCAAGACCACCAGAGTAGTCACTACCTTCTCACTTCCTAGGCAACATTCCATGTCTCATTATGTCTACCTTATTCAACTGTTTGGTGCCCCAAATGGGCTGCGCTCCTCAATCACAGAGTCCAAGCACATCAAAGCCATAAAAGAGCCTTGGAGGCATTCCAGCTGATACAAGGCACTGGGACAGATGCTGCTAACTAATCAGTGTTTAGATAAATTGGCAGCATCACACATGGATTTCCATGTTCATGGAATGCTCACAGGTACATGTTTATCTGCTGTTCTCACATCACTCAATATATTTTCCTTATCATGTTTAGTATTTGATTATGACTTTCATCACTACTAGAATCATCAGCAGATAGAGGACCTGCTATTCACTCTGCACAAACTGATGCAGAAGAGCCCCATATCAGCTCAGACTCACAAGAACCTAGCATGCCAAAAAGTGCCAGCATGCCTGATGCTGATGTTATCACTGACTCTGAGGACATTGACATACCAACATCTGTCCTTGCACATGTTGAACTCACGCAAACATCTTGTATGTCATTTGTTCATCTGCTCAATCTTAATATGCTTACTATTAATTCAAATAGAGGGGACAAAGCAGGTGCAAAGTGTCCATGCACTTGCCAATGAGCTTGATATCCCACATTTGGCTGATCTTGTCTTGCAATTCCTTGCCAGACAATTATATCCGGACATGCATCAGCAAAACCCTAACCCTATGTGCAGCACTGCACAATGCTGCACAGCAATCACAGTGTCACAGCAAGGTCCCCCCATGTACAGCACTGTACAGTGCTGCACACTACACAATTTCTCAATAAAATATAATTATTAGCACACCATCTTGTTATATACATGTTTATGACTACATTACACTCATTTTTACATAGAATCAATACTTGTGTGGTGCTGCAGAGCCTTTACAACAAAATCTATGTGACCTGTGACACACTGTGTGGCTGTGGCACTGTACCCAAATCAGGGTTTTGCTGATGTGGACCCTACCAAAGTGCCTGACAGTCTCATGGACTGCGCTCGTTTCAATGGGAAAATATGAGTCTTTAATTCTGCAGTATCAGTGTTCTTTGCACTGAGCAATTTGAGTGAGATTGGTGGGATGAAACATGAATACATTTGTGTGTCTCCCAAGTGGAGAAGTGGGCATGCATGCAGAGATTGCATGTTTTTCATTACTGACCCAAATGCTCACGGAATGCAGGGTATGGACATTGCTCAGGTACTCACTTTTTTTTCTTTTTGACTTAGGGGTGTATACTATCCATGTGCGGTTGTCCGCTGGTTCAACCAAGTTGGAAATACACCAGATGACAACACTGGAATGTGGATGGTGGAACTTTCTTCTGTTGATCAGCACGCACATTTTGCAGTTATCCATGTAGATACTATTTTTCATTCTGCTCACCTTATTCCTCTCTATGGTACTGATATGCTCCCCTTAGTGATGAAATCCCACCACATTCTCAACATATTCACCCTTTTCTACATCAACAAGTATGCTGACCATCACACCTTCGAAATAGCATGTTAGCATAACTCACTTTTTTCTCTTACCTCGTTTACTTCCTCCTTGTAGCTCACTTTTTGACTTGGTCACTTCTTTACAGTTTTTCCGCTTATTATATGCTTGTTACTTAATTTCAAAGCATGAGCTTTTCATGTCCAAACATCTAGTGGGAAAAAGTGACGATCTGTAATGATCCACATAAATAAGTGCAAAAAAAGCTAGAAAACTAAACTCATGATTTACTGATGTTCTTACACCTCCGAGGCTTATGTAGTCCTACGCCGTACGATCAGTAATCTTGCTCAGGAAGGCCCGGAACACGTCCCGCCTCAGCCTATCACCCCTCAACTCATCCTGCGCATCAGGCTCTGGTACCAACTCGATCATCGTATTGATCTCTGTCACCGTATTCTTCGAATACTCCTCGTAGCGCTTGGGAATGTTCAACCCCTCATCGTCGTTGTACATGTTCTTCACAGCTTGCTCCCTCATAGCCTGTTCGGGACCCTTCTTGCCGTAGTTCTCCAACAGAAATTGTGTTTGCGTGTCGGTGCCGTGCGTGAGTGCCATGCATACACACCAGGAGCACTTGCCGTCAATGATGTCCGTACCAATTTTCCCAATCTGTGCCTCGGTGCCATGGTAGTCGAGGTAGTCATCTTGCACCTGGAAGAACTCGCCCATGGGAATGAGAATGCGGTCGGCTTCTTTGTATGGCTCGACGGTCTTTCCGTTGAGCTCGTATACGTCCGGGACACCACACATGCGCATGGCGAGCGCGACACTGAGGTAGAAAGAATAGTAGGCTGTTTTGTACCGCACAATGAAGGCATGTTTGAGGAGGGTGTATCTGCCTATGTCGATGTTGTCCTCGGGGGCAGTGATCTGGTCAACGAGTTGACCCATCTCGGTCTTGTAAGTTACCTGCGTGACTGAGGTAAGAGAGGCTCTGTGAGGTGCAGTGAAAGGATGTCGTGTGTACCTCCTGGAATAATTCCAATAAATCGACATAATAGCTTTCACGTCTGAAGTGGTTCTTGAGGATATGGTAGATGGCACCCTCGAGCATGCATGAATCGTTTATAGCAATTTTATGTACCTTTCCGAGCCCCTTGACATTAGAGACGCGGTACCAGCACGGCTGGCCGCGGCGTGAAATGGAGTCGTCCATGATGTCGTCGGAAACGAGGAAGAATGCTTGAAGCTATCAGGGAGTGACTATGGATATTCAGAATGGAGAACGGAGAACATACAAGCTCAATACACCATCCGAGGAGGGCGGCTCTGAAGTATTCGTCATCGGTTGGAGGGCGGTTTAGGAGAATCGTGACGGTGTCAACAACGGATACGCCACGATTGAGTTTACCTCCGGGGACATTGTAGATTAGGTTCTAATGGGACGATAGTCGAGACAGATAAATTGCGACAAGTGGTGTAGCCAGTGACAACATTGATGGCAATCCCGACGAAGATGTGAACATCGATATTCAGTGGAACGCATATAACTAGTCACCTCGTTGAACCACGCAATGGCATCTTCGGGCATCTTCTCGGACTTCATATGTGCAACCAATTCTTCCCGGATGCCCTCAAAGACTGCGAGAAACTTGTTCCGCGTGTCTGCATGCGACATCGCGTACGAATAGGTAGCAATGGGATCGAACGTGAAGCTGGTGTATGGGATGAAAAAAGCAGGGATCGATAAGCGCTTGAATATCTCCACTATTAGTACCTGATTGAGATGAGACCACTTTCATAATTGACAACTTGCCGTGCGGAACGCTATGAACGTCCCGCGCTAGACGTACGAATGACAATTCATCCAGTAATCAGGAGATTTGTATGCTTCTGGTGTGTCGGCCGACCACCCGATCCTAGGAACGTTAACTGATGGTGAAACGTGTCGGCTTATATATATACACCCGAACCACAAGTCTTAACTGAAATGAGTGACATCATGGGATCGGTGAAATGGGGTCTTCCTCTGCCCTAACCAAGCTAGATGTGTGGTATGTTGCTGCACCTTTGATTCGAAGAGCGAGAGCTCGAACGACAATTAATCACTGAAGTATTGACTGACCATTATCCTCAAGGTCGCATTCGAACAATGTTGCAGGCTGTCCATGCATTGGTTTCTGCTGCCTGATTGCATCCCAGGTAAGAAGAGTACGCGATGCAAACTTGAAGATGAAATAGTGAGACCGCACTGATAGAAACCAAGAAATTAAGTGACCATCTACAGAAGGCCAAACGCCATCAGACACCGGTAAGCAGGAATACTCCTTCAAGATTTAAGAACACGTATACGTACTTATGGTGAACGGTAATGTGTATCTCGATGTAAGTAGAACTAAGCCTAGAACCGAGATTCGACATCAAAAGTTGGGTCAGACCCGGTCGTGACGCGCCTGTCACGTGGCACTGTCACAAATCCTAGATCATGTTCAAACACCATCTTATGTCGAATTCCAAACACTTTGAATATGATCAAACTGTTTCAAACATATTAATGACCATCTGCGTACAGGCCCCGGAGTGTTGTATTCACTTCTCACCATATTTACTTAATGCTTGTCCTCTGCGTTCGTGCTATGTAGTGTGCATCTTGTGTTTGTCTTGTATTGCCTCTAATTATTGATACAATGTTGGTTTTCAGACCCAGATTTGTCTCGACTCCATCTTGTCAAGTCCAATGCAGCTTCTGTACTTTATACTACCATGTCAAGCCTCATTCAGGCTGGGTCAAGCACCACTCATGCCACGAGTAGTTCTGCCTAACATCGTCGCAGTCTCTGTTTTAATGACAACATCCACACCAACCTATTCCGCGTCAAAATCGCGAGCAGCATGAAATATGAGTTCGAAGTTCATCAGCTGGCTAGATGCATCCACATTCGTCACATTTCTCCGTGTCTTCATCCTGAAGGGGAAAAATCATCGAGTTTCATGCCGCCCATACTCTGCGGCAACTTGTCACATGAATTTGGTAGGGTCAAAGTAATGAGTTTTTGCCCTAGGGGCATAGGAGTGTATAATTTGTCAGTCAGAGAAGTAGCAGTAAGGACTCGGCAAAATATAGGCGCCTGACTGAACTCTGGCAAAGAGGCCATCATAAACATACATTGGCACCGGTTGGATTTCAGTGGGCGGAAAGTCTTGCGATGGCTGATTTACTGCGAGCCTGCCAATGTCATTAAAACGATGCTTGACAATGGTGATGTGTGTTCCACTTAACTTACGATCGGTGAATGTTGAATATGTCTCCGTCTGCATACTAGTCATCATCAGACAAGCGAGTGGGTAGCATGCAAGACGTGCTGCGGGTCTGCATGGTGGACAACTATCAGGCCTCCGAAGGATGTGCATGGGTGCGTGTGTCATTATAGCCTTCGGCCCATATCCCAGCTTAATAGGGTCCAGATACCGAGCCTGAAATTCCAATGTAAATACCATGGAGCAAGTTGCAGGCAAGCTGGCTCCAAGAGAACTTGCCACGTTTATTGTAGGTTTTTGAACACAGGTTGCCTACCCTGGTATTAGCGCTGGACACATACCAGACCTGCTGACATAATGATGTCGCGTCTAGCCCGGGCTTGCGCGTCGATTAACCTATTCTACCAACTCTACCATGGACCACTTTCCAACTAACTGGGGCCGTCCAGTAAGTACCGTTTATTGGAGCTAGATTATACCACTGAATTCTGATCTTGCAGAGAAACGACGCATTTGATGCATATGCTACCTACCCCATTCATCAGCGACCATATAATGGTCCAAAGGATACTTTCGCTGATGGCGTACAGCGAACACAGTAAGTCTGTTCAATTACCGCTCTTCCTCTCTATCAACAAGACTCGACTCGATATGTAGACAACCTATTGTAACTGGAACGAGCGTGCTTGCGATCAAGTACAAGGATGGTGTCATGATGGCCGCTGACAACCTCGGTACTTTCACTTCCAAGTCATTCCATCCATCAGCTCATGTGTTATCTAACAGCATCATACGGATCCCTCGCTCGATTCAAGGATGTGCAGCGTCTGCACCAAGTCGGTAACTATACTGTCATCGGTGCGGGAGGCGATATGTCAGACTTCCAGTACATTCAGTACATCCTTGAGGAACTATCCATCGATGAGATATCAGCACAGGATGGACACGAACTTGGTCCTGTCGAGATCCACGAATACATGTCGCAGCTCATGTACGCGCGTCGGTCCAAGATAAACCCGCTCTGGAATTCTCTGCTTATCGGTGGATTCAAGGATGGCAAGAGGTAAGGATGTGCTACGTCATTCTCAAGCAGGAGTTAATATTATTCAAAGGTTCTTGTCGTACGTCGACCTGTTGGGTACGACGTATTCTGCTTCGACACTTGCTACCGGGTACGGCGCTTTCATTGCCCAACCACTGTTGCGTAAGGCCGTTGAAGGGAGAGAGGATGTCATTACTGAAGAGGAAGCACGAAAGATCCTAGAGGATAGCATGCGCGTGCTATTTTACAGAGATGCCCGAAGTTTGAATAAGGTACATTTTCACAGTGACTATCATTATCACCTAATCAACCGATTTCTCCTTCAGTTCCAAATCGCTACCATCTCTAGCGCAGGCGTGTCCATCAGTGATTCGATGCAACTCGAGACTGCATGGTCATTCGCAGAAAACATCAGGGGTTATGGTGCTCAGACACAGTAGCTTGTATGCGTGTATTCTTAAGTTTAATTCATCATCCCTCTAAATCTATGAGACATGAATGTCGTGCAGCGTCAACCTGAGGTTATGTTGCTGCCTCTCCTTTGTTGCATAACTGAAGGTTTGAAAGTTTTTTAACGGTCCTGTCACATTTGATTTCATCCACTTTCCAGAGTGCGTCGTCGACATCCCATTTAAATACATGGATGAGTTGCCAGAGAACAGTACTCACCATAGGGTACCCTCAAGCAGTCCAGAACAAGCGCACTCCCCCGACCCCGCTGTTTGCCTGTGTAACTATCGAGCTCAGGTTGCTAGCCAACCCTGAAGGGACCGCGGTGTGCACGCGCATAGCATGGCATTTCCCTACTCTATCTCTAATGACGAACCATCGCAGTTCACTACCAAGGAAGGACGAGCTCGTGTTTGAATATGAGCAAGTCGCGAATGCCGAAGGAATGAACGCGGCAGGAGGCGTGAACTTCATGCTATCTTGTGGGCTATCAGCGGTGAAAACTCCACATCATTGGGCACCTCTATTTTTACTGCCACTGGGTGTTTGTACGGGTGGTTGAAGATGGTTGATCTGGGACTTTCTGAACACGACGGGCTAAATCAAGGCGGCTCGGGCTCGGGCCGGGGCAATGTGCTTTAATGCCCTCTGTATCAACCTTATTGACTACCTATTAGGTTGGAGCGGAAGGTGCTTGTATTGTGCTTCAGTGAAATGAAGTACCATACGCATGGCTGTCGGCTGTGGGTCTTCAGCTCAACATTTACATGTTTTCCAGAATCCACATATCGCGCGCCGTCATAAATTGAGGGAAGTCCCGAAATTCGTACACTTAGTACAACACAGATACTAAAAGTGTTGCTGTTGTTGGAGCTTAGCTTGAAAGGCGCTGGCCGACTCCCGGCAAAAGCGAGCCGTCCACACGACACGCGTGCAAGTTACAGCCGGTCTTAGTGCAGGTCTTCGCAGATCTTAGGTCTGTGACTATGCCGGAGTCTTGGGACCCTCGGCAAATTAAAGCGGAGTTGTATTACCACGCCTCCATTGCCATCATCGTCGCCCGCCCGGTGCCTGCCCGCCCTCCGTTGCCTGCCGTCCGTCGTCTCGAAAGGAAAACTGATTTCAGGCACTGTCTGCACTTCTTGATGGGAGGATAGTGTACGCTCAGTTGTTTCCGCTGCTAGCATTGAAGTGGAGGATCAGACGCACTAATTTCTTGGCTATGACCATGGCGCCTAAAGACCTCCTCGTCTGCGATGGCCTGCGACAGTGTGGCTAGGGCCAAGATAAGATCCTTGGCGATCCCCAATAATGCATTTACAGCATCTTATGAGAGGGCAGCCTGCTCAGCGAGAAATGCATTTATCGTGGGGCAGAACTTCAGGAATCAATTAATCAGGAGTGACCATGACAGATATGAGGCTATAAGATGTCGTCTTTGGGCGAGCTTGCACAGCGGAGGAAGAGGTCGAAGTCGACAAAGGCCATAGTGGCGAGCTCGGTCACGGTGTGTTGTATTGCTGCAAAGATGGATCCGACGTCCATGGTTTGTGCTCAGCATGTTGCGGTGGGTGGTAGCGGTGGTGATCTGGCGCGTGTTAGCCGCTGGCAACTTTATACTCCATAGATTGTGCCGAACATGCACCAAGACAGCCGTAGGCATAGGGTCTGTGAAGACCCGTACCAAGACCGGCCATTTCAGACTCATCCTCTGCGGGGATCTCCCTCGCGGCCTTTCTCCAAAACGCCGACATACAGAACATCTGCCGCTCGTAATCACACTCATTCAGGTCCTTGCAAAGATCACTCGCGCCAGCGCGCTGCATTTCTGCACGCGCTCGTGCGCTTCGTCGGCGCTTAAGAAACTTGTCCTGAACAAGGAATTCAAGATTCATCGCTGGGTATTAGCTATTAAGCTAAGGTGAAGGACTATAATGTTTTGAATATGGTGAGCTGCCGATGTGCATGTAATTGAACCCAGACGAAGCTGCCAAGAAACCAACTCTCCAGTCTCACACCATTGATCTCAACCAAAACGGGCCCATAGTGCGTTCACGCCCACGCACTTCTCATTGTGATGTTTGAACTCACCTTTTACTTTCCTTTGCAACAGGTACTTGACGCACTCATCAAAATTAAGAATGAAGTTGACCCCATGCTCACCTTCCGTCGTTCGTGCAGAGAGGGTATCTGTGGTTCTTGTGCGATGAATATCAACGATTAAACCTCGCCTGTCTCTGTCGCATAGACAGAAACCCGATCAAGAATTCCAAGATTTACCCTCTTCCTCAAAGTACGTTCCTCGCTGTGAGTTTACATCGTGAAGGACCTGGTTCCCAACCTGACCCTCTTCTACAAGTAGTACAAGTCCACCAAGCCCTACCTCCAGAACGACAACTTGCCTGAGTAGGGCGAATTCTTGCAAACGCAGGAGGCCCGCAAGAGCCTCGATGGTCTGTATGGGTGTGTTATATGCGCATGCTGCTCGACAAGTTTCCCGTCGTACTGGTGGAACCAGGATGGATACTTGGGTCCTGTAAAGCTGATACAGGCATACCGCTGGACCGGTGACTCTCGTGTACGTGATGTTTCTTCGTGAGATACGCTGTGGGACTTCATTCACGTTTTTGGTGACAGGATTCATGTGGCTCCCAGAGAACGGAACAACTCCAGAACGAGATGAGCATATGTACCGCATGTTGCCTCACTCACTTTATGCGTATCACAAATATTTATCGTTCACTTTAGGCGCATGTACCTGCCCCAAGGGTCTTAACCCTGCAGAAACCATTGCGAAGATCAAGCTTGAGCTTCCAGCTGACTGAAGTTCACATAGCCCTGCGTGGTGCCAAACCACGGTGGGACGGGACTGCTTCCAGTGTATTCACTCCGTATCATCGTGCCTCTGCAAGTGAGAATTTACTGCGTCCTGTGAAATTGAAACTGCACACGGGCACGCTTCAGCCAGATAACATATTCACCAAAATGTTGATGATTTCTTTCTGACATTGATGCCTGGTTTGTCTTTTTCATTGTTACTAGATGCAATAAGGCATCTCCCAACTTCCAATGAGGAGCGGATTTTCATCTTCCAGACTCACGGTAGAGTGGGCCATCTGGGGAGCCGAATCGTGATTTGTGCTGGACATTCTTGTTAACAGCAGACCATATTGAACAACTTCTCTTGGCAAGCAGGTCTGAACCATGTTGCGAGGACTCTGACAAGAGTGTCATGCGAATGTCTCTCCCTCGCATGTCATTTGGGCAGTACGACAATGTTTCTATGGGTTTCAAACAATACAGCATATGGTGCTATCTAGATTGCCCTCCATCACCACAATGTACATGATCATCTCCGGCACTATCAGGGGCATGTCACTGTAACACATACCGATACCGCTAGGGCAGGCAAAGAGGAATGTACTGGGTTAGACGCAGGGTGGCGGATAGCGAGTGCTGCAGCGAGGGCGGGAGGACAGCTATGCTACTGGTAACTGGGCACCCCAATCACACAGGGCCGAGGTTTGATAGCCGGAGATGCTAATAAGGTGCCATTGGAGTTGCTCCAGATCTGTAATGACTGCTTCCCTCAGCATACTTTGCCGCAGACGTACGACTTCCAATTGCATGGGAGAGCCATTCTGTATCTCAGGGCTTACAAGAGTGTTTGTGTAAAGCAAACTTATATCCGTGCGGTTCCTGCCGTTCAGCTTTAGTGGGTAAACATCCTCATCAGCCCGTGAACTCCTTGGCCAATTTTCAATTGTTCTCACTGAGAGCCATCCATTACCTTCATGTGAACGACAGACGAAGCTCTTTACTTACGTGTGGACCTAAGACGCCCATTATCAACAATGAAATCAAAGTACTTCTATTGTTATCCTCATACGCTACTTGCCAAGTGGTCCGAGCTTATGATATGGCGGCGGCGGATCCCCTCTATCACGGTGCTGGTGAACTGGATCGAGCACTCCACGATCTGTACGTGCAACATTCGACGCAGAGTAGTAATGTCGCAGGTGGTTCGTGTGGCGCATATCTGATGTCGAGCGGGGTACAGTTGCGTGGTGTCGGCGGGAAGGTAGTGCTATATCGTCACGAGGAATGTCCCCTGTCGAACGTGAAGGATGGAGTATGCGTTCGTGCCCCTCGGTGCGAGAGCGGGGAGTGAATCGTTTGACCTCTTGTGCAAGTGCAGAGCGCTGCGGAGACATGGGTGAATTTGCAGGACGGTGGCTATTATTAGCGGAGCGTATGGAGGAAATTGACTGCTGCTGGAGGGGGATTTGCGAGGGACCAGCTTGTGGAGATTGAGTAACGTACGAACTAGATGGGTTGCGTGGTAGCCGTGAAGGGGGATCTTCAGGACGCAAAGAAGTATTGGATGGCTGGCGAGAAGCAGTTGGAACCGGCAACGGGCGTGTAGGGGTGCGTAAAGGAGAGGGCTTCGGACCGACAGGCGAGTGTGTGGAGGATGCCTCCGTTGGAGACGCCATCCAATTATTCCGCCAGGAAATGTCAATGACGGACAAAGGGACCGAAATATTCACCCGCGGCACAGATGCATTAGCGCTTGGTACGGGGTTGGCGGCCTCAAATGGCCGGGGCCGCGCATCTTGCCCGGCAATCAACCCTCGCTTCCTGCGTCGAAACTTTACCACAGCAAAGCACAGAGCAGCAAAGATCATAGTGCCACCGACTGATGCGCACACAGCAATGATGATCGTGTCTTGATGGCTTAACTTTACACCGCCATTCGATCGTGTGGCAAGGATCACTCTGCTGGCCTGTCCCCCTCGATTCCCAACCTCACAAGATACTCCACTGGCCTCAACAACTTCTACAAATTCAGTCGTATGCCCAAATACGCCAGACCTGCGGAAGAGACAAGGTTAGCATAGGTTTGCTAGTGGGATCTAACGAAGGTGGAGGAGACCACTCACGAATCACGCACGGCAGCTTTAACGGGAACAAAATGCACAGGCTTACCCTCAGTCAACAATCTCAGGTTCCCGAGGACTCCGACGCACCTATAGTAGGTCCTCTTAGTGCGATGCCGCTATTTATAAATGAAATCAGGCCAGACTCTTGTGGCACAGCGAAATCCTGCAAAAAGGGTGCTCCGGGAGATGCGAGCATGATGGTGTATGGTGGGACTCCGCCTGAGACGGACATCTGCCAGGAGTCGCAGGGCTCGATATGGGAGGCATTCGTTATAATCATCGGAGAAACTACAGACGTGGGAAGTGCAGAAAGACAGTCTGAGGATCCTGCTGCAAAGATATCTCAGTGTGTTTCTGTGGATACTTGCAGGAGAAAGGGCCCACATGCAACCGTGAAGACTGTGGGGAGCACCCCACCTGAGTTTCCCAAGGAGTCGACGAGGGCGAGGAGTAGCTGGGACCCTGTATAATGCTGCTCTGTAATTTATTCCAACATAGGGCCAGTTGTACGAACCTGCTGGGTGCTTCACTTGCCACAGACCATCTTCGTGTATTTGCGTAGCAGTCAGTGCCCCACCAGCTTCAAAGGCAAGAAGGGTGTATGGAGAATGTTCAATATCGTTATAGTTTCCCAACGACGAAGGAAGCGAGATGTGCAGGCCATCACAGACGGTCAGATTGTGCACTCGCTCAAATTCCTGATCAAAATACTTGAAAAATAACATACGAAAAAGAGCAACCATAACTTACGTGATTTGTTAAATCCCAGGAAAAACTTCGGCTAACCTCCGCAAGGCCTAGGAGTGCATGAAGGAAAAAACATATCGCTAGGCCTTGAAGAAGCAGCAAGACCATGACTTTTAGGAGATAACAAGCTCCAAGGACCAGCCTGAAAGGGCCTCCAGCTCCGCTCAAGGGTACCAATCAAGAGACGCCCGCGTCTTTCCAATTAGAAGTTTGGTAAGGAAAGGAAAGGAAGCAGGAACTGAGAAGTTTCATAAGTATCTCGGTAATTGCCATGCGATAAATACCATAATACTTCTGATCACCGAGACGTTCCGAGAATGCGTGCATGTGCCAGCCAATTGTGGCTGGAGCAATGCTGTTGTAGTGTTCAGCACAGGTATCTTGAAGACGCCTTGCACAAAATTCACCGCTCCTCTGATCGGCTGGGGCTATTGTGGGCAATAATCAAGCGATTCCCATTGGCGTAGGCTGCGTAAGTAGATCATTAAGGCAGTATAACGGATCAAATGGGCTCACAGTTGTCTAGAACGCTGGCAGTTCCTGGTAAGATGCGAGCAATTCTTAGAACACTGACGGATATTTCTTTCTGTACAACTCGGTTCGAATGGAGCAATACTAGGTTGTAAGTACTGAGCGCCATGCACAGCCCGGCGGGCGGTACACAACCCGCGCACATGGACCAAATGCACTGGTAGTGGCAGTGCAGACAGTAGAGATATCACCAGCACGTGACTAACGCGTACTTACGTGCCAGGTGCATCATATTGACTGCCAACCTGAAGCACCTCTCGCTGTTCATACGGTTACAATTTTATCCTATGACTGTTATTTTGCTCTTGTGGCTCAAACTTCACTCAGGCCTTGCGGTGTACCTAACTTAGAAATAACGTAGATGGCTAAATATATCTCATTTCATTTTGAAATCTAAGCTGTACACAGAATCGCATCGATTCGTCCCGTGAGTAACACTAGCTACCGTGGCACTGACCGGCGCAGTTGAGGACTACGTGGTTCAGAAGCATCGTCTGTAGAGAATTAAGTAGGCACATGCACCTATAATTGATATTCGTTGAATATCTAGAACAGGGTGCCGGAGGAGCACGAATCGATTATCATCCATGCCCACTCTGTACCAGTATCGGTTGGCATGAGAGTATCAGACCTACCAGCGAAACTTTCTTGGGGTACGGTATGAGCGGGGTTTGCTTGTCTTCAACATATCAAGGGTGAATGTATCCCACTCCAAAATTGCAAGATATCATACATGTATTAGTTCGAAATACTTTTCTGCATCTCCATGGTACAGTTCAGAGCTGAGCAATAACAACGTTTGCAGCGGTGGAAGTGATATTCGCAGGCTGCTCTTCCACTGCAATGAAGTCGGCGTTCCCATCTTGGGCCACAATGACGTAGCGCTAGAGAAGATTCAGTACGTCACGAAATCTTGAGCAAAGAACAATATAACCTTGGATCTAGGTGAGGCTAGAAGGCCAGGGGCGTCAAAAAGGAGTCCCACACTGGAGGTAAACTCCCCTTTATCATCCGCAATGAAACGGACGCCTGAGCCACATCACAATGCGATGAAGAAGTTATCAATGAACAAAAACTCCTACCTGTGCCCTGTGGAGCAAGTTTTTCTTTCCAAGCCCTGCGAATAGGGTGGTTAAGTATATGCGCTCGGATATGCATATACGTGCTCACTTTACCACGAAGGCGTCACTTACAGCAACAACATAGATGTTTTCACGCCTTTAGCTTTGAACTTGTCGTAGTCTGCGATGTACTGCGGGACCTGGGAGCTACACGGCGGTGTGAACGCCCCAGGAACGCCAAGCTGTTATTGCAACAATATGAGCGTCTAGCACAAAATTGACATGGGGCCACGTACAATGATATTCTTGCCAGAGAGATCGAGCGTAGTGGAGCGCTCGGGATCTTCTTCTTTCACAAGCTTCTGGGGGATTGGCTCGCCCACCTCGATCTGGGCAGCGCTGAGCACCGCAGCAGCGGCAGAGTGCGCAGCCTGCGCGACATTTGTAAGAATGGAAGCCATGGCAATCTGTACAAATGAGATATGTAGGTGATTGAGAAAAACTGGGGAGATGTTGGAATATACATGGTCCCCTTACTTATATAGGCATCGATGCTCCAAATGACATTATGTAAGCAAGATATAAGCACTTCCCGGGGCCGCTGCACCTTCTGACAGTTGTAGTGAGTGGAACGTGTATTGCTATTAAGGTGGTTCCACTTCACCCAGCGAGTTTACCGCTATTTTCCTAAGTAGTTCTGCCTTTCAGATTTGAAACCAAGGAGACTCCACCACGTGAGTTCAAACGATTTCGATTGGAATTTCACGCTAATATTGATCGATGACTTGGGAGACAAGTAAGCAAGTCAATCGATATCAGCTTTCAGGATGCTTGAATGACTTACTCAGTATTTTGTATTCCCTGGTTCTGATTGTTATAAAAGTTCCACGAGCATGGAAATAGGGATTCCACCTGTCCTAAACATGAGAGGCGTAAATTGGTCCGACAGATTGCGGCTTATAATCAACTTGGATCTCGGCATCCACGCGTACGGGTAAGGATGCGACTATGTCCTAGCACTCAGCTCTAAAGCTGATGCGCATACGTCGCTGCGTGCATCCATTGATGCAGATCGTAAAAGCATAATTCTTACACCCTTTTGCGTCAGAGAGCTCCGTGGGATTTGATCAGATGTTGGCACTGTGCACTAGTCATAGTAATCGTATTAACCAGGTTAGGGCGACCAAAATACGATGCTGCTTGAGGGCCAGTGTGGAATCACGGCGGAAAGCAATGGAGGTATATAAACACAGATGCTGGCACACGAAACTATACTTTGTACCGACGACCTGTTTTCGTAAAGAAGGTTTGAAGGATATACACCTGAAGGCTAAACATCATTCAGCTGTGGTTGAATTACGTCTGGGTTGCACTTACACAGCCATGCCCACAATGCCCAAACTCTCCAGAACCATATACCAGAACAGGCGACTATATTGCTTGTGAGCGACCCAGTCACACAAAAGTGAGAATATCCACCAACTTTTGTGTCGACCTGACCAAAGAGAACCCTCTGTTCTCTCGTGTATGGAAACTTGGGAAGAAAGGTCGGTAAGGATGATAACTTCGGATAATAGTTAAACATACTATTTTTGAGTACGTTTGATGTTCAAAAGGAGCGAGTTCAACCGGAATGTGCTCTCCTCTAGTGCACTGGTGTGATCAGCCACCTGTCCTGGCTTGGCAGGTGCTTCCCTGCGAGGCTCACTCTCCACCATGATGTCGAAGTCAACTAGCTTCACCGTGAGAGTCGACATGTCATTCTCGAAGCAGAACGAGTACTCTCCAACGGTGTTGGCAGTCAAAACGTAGTCGCCTTGCCTTTCACTTTTACCGTCAAGTATGACCTTCTCATTGGGATCCTTAACGTCGAAGTCTATATCGAACGATCCTCCAGATTGAACCTAGTTTGTGGGACAATGAGTATATGAGCTGGCACAATGCCGCATGACATACTGCAAAGTAAAACTTCAAGCGGGATGTTCAGTATAATTCAACAAATATGAGTATTCGTGCTCACTCCAATCTTTTCCCCTGCTTTGTCTGCATCGACATAGAAACATAAACGCTCATTTGCAGCAATGGCAGTGGTCAACGCCGAGCTTCTTGCTGAAGGAAGAAGTGATAGGAAGAGAAAGCAGTTGTACAGAAGAAGTAAGAGAATCATCGTTGGAAAGCATGTATTGGTTGCATCCTGGTTGTGTGCTTATGATGGTGACCTTGCCGGTGTGCCGGTATCGAATTACGGACTCCGCGAACTCCGAGTCGTTAGAGGTCAAATTGGTCTCGACTTGGTTTTGGCCTCCATTAAGATACATATATCGATTCGTCTTCCCCATCTATAAGCATTACTGATAGTGAAAGTGACCAAGCTGCTGCGACCCCTCCGTCTGGTGTGTATCATTATCATTGTGATAATTTGACCTATTCAGTGGCTTTGTCCAACATGAATTCACTGACAAATATTCATACTTGGGATCTTATTTCAGAGATGTTTTGCGAAGTCGATGGGTCTCGTTACTCCGATTGCCTCGAGTTGCCCTCGAGTGATCCTCCTACAAGTCCAGCGCGACTTCAATTCCAGAGCGACAAATACGCATACTCTATGACTATATGCTCCGATGCTCCCCCTGTATCCACGGCGATGCGACACTTTATCATGGATTCTATCCCTCCTAGTTCAGGACAAGACGTCCTGTTTCAATTTCCTCGAGCCGAAAGTTTTTTTCGATCCATATCAATGCCATCTACTCCTTTACGCCGGTATGGCATGTCGGCTTCTTCGCCAGGCTTTCAGCAATTGTCTCGTGTGTATTCGGCACCTTATACTGAATCCTGGGTAGAACAACAATTGTCCTCTTCGCCTAGTCCCCTTCCAAAGATCCCTCCTCTACCTGGCTGCGGCCTATCACCTTCAACTCTTAATGCTGAAGGAACACCATTTGATCGGCATTTCAACTTGTCACAATCGTGGCACAGCTCCGATCCAGATATGTCTCCCATAGCTAGAAGGATGTCTGATGACAATACCACTGCGTCTCCACGTGAAAGCGGACACCTATCTAATCAGTCTTCTGGAGGATCTTGTGTTCCAAGTCCGTGGTTGCTGATGGAGAAGCTTCCTTCGTTAAATTCCTCCGGTCATTTTGCCTTCTCCCCAGGATTCACTTCGAGTCCTGTCATGCATGTTAGCGAACGGTCTTTGTCCCCTGTGTCCTCTCTCTCTGCGCTCACCCCCCTTTCATCTCCCGAGCGCCCCCTTAGCGGTAATGTTTCCGGTGGCTTGTCTTACACTTCTTCACTATGCTCGCCCACTTTTGGACAAAACTTGACCACTGCGCGACATTCAAAAGACAACCGCGGGCTTGATTCTACTTCTCGACGTTCGCTTCGTACTGCTAGTCGTGCGATTCTCGTGCGGAGTCCCAAGCACCCCCTTACGGACGATCACGATGAGAAACAGGCTTCATGCCGGACAAAACGCACATGTACCTCTAGCGGCCCTACTGCTGTCGATCTTACCTCTCAGACTCAGGAGCCCAAATCTCTCTGCATACCGTCACAGCGTCGCCTTCCCTCAGAGGTTTCTCGTCACCCCGATTTTCCTTTATTCTATCGGCGTTATCCTATAAGCTCATTTCTACAACTTGATGCCGAGGAGTAAGTTATTTCTTGTATGACACCTGGCGCTCACCGTGCGCAGAGCTTCCCTTTTCAATCGCTCCAATCACCCTGGTGGTATCTGTAACCCTCCACGCGATCCACGAGATCTGTATACTCCCCGTTTTGTCAAAGGTAAGGGTAGGTCCAAGATAGGACTATGCCCGATCTGCATCGAAAGCCCTTTGCGCGGTGGACGGGGACAGAAATTATGGTTATCAACAAAATTCTCTGCGTTTAAGTGGTCACTTACTTTTCCCTCGCAACCTATATATGATTGTGCTAACGGTTTTGTTCAGAGAATTTAAGTCTCTTTCATGATATCACTTAACTTTTTTTTCAGCTACCACATGCAGTTTGCGCATGGTAAGGCACATTTGAATAATCTTCACCCACTGATTTTTTCTCGCATTTTAAGGAGTGTCGGCGACGACTGGACGTCCATTCTCACCTCCACTGTCGTACAGGACAATTAGTCGCCACCACCCCCTCAAACTTGAGCGGTCGGAGATTCTTGAAGGAAGGTGTCATAAATGCAAGAAGTGGGTCCCTGTCGAAAGTATCAAAAATTGCGAAGTGAAGGTATGAGATCAGTACGATCTCCCGTGCCATTTCTGATGATCCCCATTAGGTCAAGGAACTGTTCTGGTAGGGCACATGCGAGGCATGGCGAGCAATAGACTCACTCTACTTCTAGGTGGAAACACGCTGCAACCTGCCACCAAGGATCCCAGGTTCTAGGGGACGACGACTTCTATGAACAAGACGATGTGTTCCGTCGCTTAGAAGAACTCGGACTTTGAAAGTATCGCTATTCTCTTCTTGTTCTGGAATATGGACCGCGCTGGACTTTCAACTGTATATGTATTGCGGTCGCTATGTGGACATCATCGTATACACGTGCTGTATTTTGTTATGGCTTGTAGTTATAGTGCCGACAAGCTAGTCTGAATGTATTTTTTGGTCACTACCACTCCTCGATGTGTGATATCATCTTTTGGTTTGGCAGAGCTGTGGACAACATTTTCATTTTATCGTTCCTTGGTCTTGGTCTCGGACGCTTACCCTGGTCAAATACTCTTCAGCAACAGTTCAAGGTGTTCATCTCTTTAGTCGTTCGTCTTTCGCCCGAGCCATGGATTCATGCATCTGGACTGGCACCAGCGTAGAAGAACTCCGAGGTTCTACTAACCATCTTTCTGATCTCACACACTCATCCAACTTCGTAGCTGTTAGAATTAGGAAAGCGTATACAGCATCCAGCGACGCGTCTCGCCAGGACAATGTACTAATATTTCCTTGTTCTCTGACTCTTGGCATTGTCTGCTCTTACTATGACAAGTCTATTGATTGTCCAGGCCACTGGATTTTTGTTTGCGATATGGCCAGCATCAATTTTGTGACTTATAGCTGCAAGTCATTGGCCTTGATAGCAATGTTTTTGTACCTCGTGGCGTTTTCTATGCAATGTAAACAGTTTCAGCGAAGTGCTGGCCACAGCTCGCCCAAGTTATTTGACTCCCTATCCAGATCTATCCCATGAATTTTGAGGGATGCTATTTTGCGGCCCATCGGAAGGATTCCAGAAGTATGTAGATTTCTATTGTATTGATATCTCACATAGTGAGAAACAATTATCTTGCATGGATGAAAAGTATGCTTGAATATAAGACGCAATGACAAGCCGCAACACACGTCGGCAATACACTTTTACGCGTTCGCGCACGTGACTTTGATTACTTTCGCGTAAGCTTCTTCTGAGTCTTCTCGCGTCTGGGCCTCCTCAAAATCCGCACGTACACACGACACACTTAACTTGTTTTGTTGGGATTGAGGGCTGCATTGCTCTGGTCGTAGCCAAGAACTTTTCACCCTGCAGTAGTCAAAATTCTTCAGGCGGGTCCCTCGATCTCTAGTAACGGTTAAACCCCTTCATTTGGGTTTGGTGCTCATGGTGGATACCGTACTCTATTGAAATATCAGGCTTCGAGGAACTGTCATGTCCAAATCGACCTCCGAAGCTGAAACGCTTTACGTAGAAGTTCACCGTCGAATGATCGAGAATGGAGAGTGGGATCGGTGGGTGCTTGTTCGATATCTCTCATAGCTACTGAAAAACATCTCACAACATAGAATGTTGCATCTGCTGTCCTCTAAGCTGTCTGAAAGCGGATGGACAGATGACCTTCTGCACCGTGCCAAAGGTATGCATGCCTGTCCTGTTGTTACTTGGTGCCTAATCCCCAGATTCATATGCAACTAATTAGAAAACAGCAGAACTATGGATCCGCTTTCCCTTCAGACAATCCTGCAGGAATTGTTATCGCATGCGCAAAGTGCTAATCTCCACTCGATCATTTGCCGGCGTCACTGACCCCTTCCATCATCCCCTAGCAAGCGTGCCTCTCTCCGTGAAACGGGAAATTACAACTCTTATCAAGCAGTTCGTGAAGGAGCAATTCGAGAAGTAGCAAATACACCTTGCATGACTACCTTTATTTATTCCATGCGAAACCATTCATGTAACTCTGTTCCCAATCATAAGTTAAATGGAATGACTTTGGACGATTGGACCAGGGTATTCGAAGGCTACGTGCCCCAACATTTTCCTGCGGTAACCGATTTCTGCTACGTGAAGCACCGCCCGTTATTAACTTGATACAAGTCCCATGATGTTACGCCTTCTAGCGTCTCAACATTGCAACTGAGTGGTTACCCATGCAAACGGATAGCTCCGCACTAATGACGTCGCTTTTGGAAACACTCGGGAAGAACCCATACGACCAGTTTACCAGTTGAGTTATATAACAAGTACTTACTTCTAGGACTCCATGTATCATGTGCCAGCAAATATTCTCATTCTTCCTTGTTTGGATGCTCGCAGCTCCCCCACCTGCAGGTTTTTTATGAACCTCGTGTTCGTGTTCATGGCCACTTTGGGTCGATAGACATGTTCTCGAGTTGTTATCATCAGACTTGTAACGAGTTGAGTTCTCTACAAAACCCAGCAGAACTCTCATAAACTCCTGTCTCTGCATTCCAACAGTTCGACGCTATGTAGGGTCATTCTCCCTCTCGATGATCACAGTGCTGAATCACATCTAGGCGCGTAGTGCCCACCAGTCTGTCCCACATTCAAGGATACGCATGTAGAATGAGTTGAGTACGCCTACAGGGAAGCGGTATCGCATGTCGAAAAAATGGTTCAAAGTTCACGCATCACCGCGAGATTAATGCTCGCTCCCGCCAAATGGACAACAGGTGAGCTGCCATTCTTTGCAATCTTTTACTGGGCTGCCAATGATAAGCATGTCTTAGATTTGGACGTGAGTAGCATATCCTGCGCCCTTGTTGAGATTACGGGATATTGTCCTTCAAGGATTCCCGCTTGTATCAAGACCATCTCAAAATTGTGTGCCTATGTGACCGGATCTGGTACCACAAGCTTTGGGACGACGGCTTGGCTCGCCATCAATCAAGCAAGTGGCACTACGCATGTTTTGAGTGGAGCAAAGGACCGACATAGACTTTTTGGAGCACTGGAGCCCCACTACTCAGATGTACGTCATGCTGTTCAGAAATACGACTGGCCGATCGAGGAAAAGGTAGGGTACCGAACGAAGAGCGTTGCAATGCGGAGGCGTTAGATGTCGCTCTTTATTATTAACCAACCTTCTTGTTTCTGAGGGTTAAAATTAAAATGGTGTCACCGTAATTTACGATACGGACGCAAGGCGGTGATTCAGTAACTGCTATGGGGATTCATATTATGCTGTCTCATAGTGTCTCGCTCATAGAATGTGCAGCATTCATTGAGAGAGCTGAGCTACACAAAAATATACTAGTGCCCTCACGTAGTAGGTACAGAGTGGACACGAAGCGTGACGCGTCGCGACGCGGTCTCGTGATTTCCAATTCAGGAAGGACTGTGGAGGTCATTGCCGAAATGCCGACTGACATAATCATCCACAAACTGAACTTTCAATTGAATACGCCACTTCCAGGTCTCTCTGCCCCACATTCATCGCGCGTATTTATAGGGCAGCTTAAGGACGACTATCATCTTAAGGCGCTAACTACCTTACTCATCGTTCTTCACGTCGTCGAGCTTAGTATTTTTTGCAGGAAGTTACCATGGATTTCATGCTCGGTGGTAAGTACAGACTTGAAGAAGAAATCGCCATTGGAGGATGTGGTAACTTTCTTTCTCTCTGCTCATCTACCACTGGTCCCCCTGATTCTATATCACGTTCAAACAGGCACAGTGTTCCTTGGAGTTCATACAATCGCAGGAAAGGAAGTTGCAATTAAGTTAGAACCAGCCATAGCACGCAACAGTCCTCTCAAGCAGGAGTCCAAGGTCTACAAGACCCTCATGGGTGGCCCTGGGGTGCCATGGATAATGTGGTCGGGAAAGCACGGCGATTACAACGTTATGGTGATCGATCTGTTGGGTCCATCCCTTGAAGACCTCTTCAAGATGTGCAATCGTCACTTCACAATGAAGACCGTACTCCAGCTTGCGGATCAATTAGTGAGTCTTCTTTCTTATCTGCGATATCTCCTCAGGCGAGGTGTATGTCTTATCCACTGTTCCGCGTCCTGCATCTACACGTTGTGGCCCAGAGCGTCATTTATGATGCCAAGCTGTGTTGGGCTTTCCTTTTCTCTCAGCGTTGCTTATGCCTTCCCAACAACCCAGCTATCGCGCCTCGAGTTTATCCACTCTCGAGATTTTGTCCACCGCGATGTCAAACCCGCCAACTTCGTAATGGGGACGGATCGCGCAGAACATTTGGTCAATGTGATCGATTTTGGGCTCGCCAAAAAATTTCGAGACCCAAAGACAAGCGCCCATATCCCGTACCGACAGGACGACCATCACGGCGTGGGTACATCCCTCTTTGCATCTATCAACGCGCATCACGGCATCGGTGAGTCATACTTGGCTATCAGGGTGGCATTAATTGATCTAATGGCTTGGTAAAGAGTGCTCCCGGCGTGATGATTTAGAATCCCTTGCTTACATGTTGGTTTACTTTCTTCGAGGCACGTTACCATGGCGGAAAATCAAAGGCACTACAGTCGCTGAGACGTGGGATGCTATACGAGACAAGAAGCTCGAGGCTTTATCAGTTCTCACTGTGGGTCTTCCTGTGGAGTTCGAAATTTTCTTCAACTATGCAAGAGGTCTCGAATTTGAAGACCTCCCAGACTATGTAGGACTCCGAGATTTGTTTAAAGGGCTGGCGAAAAAAATGAAGATAGAGTATGATGAGGTTTATGATTGGACACTACCCTCGAGGCGGACGACGAAGAGATTCTGTGAAGCGTGCAATGCGCGGCGGTAACGAGACACGAAGATGGGGATGGTTCTATCCCAGCCGTGAGTACATTCTCGCTTTATGAAGCCCGAGTGGTCAATCAACATGTTCATTTGTTTGTTGATCAGACTTTCGAGCAGAACACGTGGCGGCACTCGTGAATTGGCATGACAAAACCCTTCGATCACATGCAGCCGCTGTTACGTTGTCCTCGTTTGTGAGGCACTTATTATGACGCCGGCCTGATACTGGCCAGGCTTTCTCTAAGTAGCCGACAGCGATTGTTCGGCGAGCTTAGGTTCGTCTCAATATGGCCTGGCCGTTATCAGGACGTCTTGTGCTGAACAGTCTTCTCACAGAATCTTCCATACCAATGTCGCGCGCGTTCATCTCTGCTTCAAAATCGGAAGCACGGCTCGAGGCTACAATGCCTCTGCAGTGCGGAGTTGTATGGGTGATCCAGAGATGGGGTTTTGTTCTTGAAGGTCCTCTTTATGTCTTGCGTTATTTGGTTTCTATGGGTGTCTCATATCTTACTGCTTGCTGTCGTTCCTGCTATGCCATACTTTTAGATCACTTGAGTACCTGACCGCTCGCTGCTTAGTGATTACTCGTGTCGAAAAATGTGCAAATTCTAAGGATAGGCACCTCTGGGACATCTTACATAAACACCCGACCTTTCAAACCGCCAAACACCCTGAGCGTACGAAAGTCCTGCGCAGCGAATGTCTTCATCGTTCACAGTCGGCGAGCGTATTTTATGCTATCACGGGCCCCTCGTCTACGAGGCTAAGATACTAAAAGCAGAGATGTGGGACGAAACCAACACTAAGCTCTCCACGGTTGGCCACCATTTCTTCGTGCATTATAAGGGGTGGAAGCAAACGTGCGTTGTCCTTTGTGTTTGTGCTTGACTCATTTTTTGCTCACCGCTGGCTAGGTGGGATGAGTGGGTGCCTATCACACGGCTGCTCAAATTCAATGACACGAATGTGCAGCTGCAGAAAGCACTAATGGCACAGGCCAGCGCGGCTGCGTCTACTTCGGGGTCGTCCTCAAAAGGGAAGGCTCATGGCGGGGGTATGATAAAAGACAGTAGCTCCTCACGCGGTGGCGGGCTTGGGCGTAAGGATGGTAGAGGAACCAAGAGAGGGAGAGAGGAGGTGCGTTTTTTTTATATGCAAATCTGTCTCATGGTGTATTCTCTGTGGTGGCGCTGATGTCATTTTATAACAGGACGACAGCAGCAAGAAGCCGGAAATGAAACTCAATGTCCCAGAGGTGCTGAAAGTACTGCTTGTGGATGACTGGGAGGCGATCACAAAGAACAGTCAGGTAGGATCGTGTCGCTTTTCGCCTGAGTTGGATATTGATAACCCGAAAGCTGGTATCTGTACCACGAAGCCCAACAGTCGTTGAGATCCTCCAGGAGTTCAAAGATTATGTGATAGGGCTCGGGAAAAGCACAACGTCAGCTCCTCTATCGGGAATACTCAATATTCTGCTGACTCAAGTGCCAACCTGTTTTTTTAGCCTTCGTGAGCCTGAACTCGTCCTCCCAACGGTAATTTCAGGGTTGCAAGTTTACTTTGATCGCTCGCTCGGCGCAAACCTTCTCTACCGCTTTGAGCGTCCACAATACGCTGAGATCCGCAAGCAGTATGTCACGGGCCCCAAGGTGCAAGTTGGCCAGGAGAAAGATATGAGCGCCATATACGGAGCAGAACACTTGCTCAGGATGCTTGGTGCGATCTTATCCACATGAAGTACTTAGCGTCAACTGATGAGTTCCTCGGCTTAGTGAGTCTACCACAGATGGTCGCCAGTTCTACAATGGACGCGGAGAGCGTCGGGCTAGTGAGGGATTATGTCAACGAGCTACTAACGTGTGTTGTTTTACCCTTCTGTTGTATTTATTTACTGATGTCTGGCGAAGGTTTATGATGAATGACCGCAGTCGGCTGTTTTTGACAGAGTATGAAAGCTCAAGTTTGCAATATCAAAATATCTCTCGATCGTAATTCATCATCGTCGTTACTGTGTAAATATCATTACTCACGATCTTAATCGCCTACGTTAGCCTTCGATCTGAATTGACGCCAATTGTGAGGTGTCTGCTGGTCCACAACTATATCAGCTCGATCAGCCGAATACGAGGATTCGATGACATCGGCTAGCTAATCGCTAACACGACTCTGCCACCTTTTCCTCTTGATTAAACTGCATCTCCAGGACCAGTCGATCATGTGCATAGCCGCCACTTCTCACTTACTTCGTTCAGATACTGCTACCAAATCCTAAACAGCACTTAGCCTGAGCTTTCTCCATGCCAACACGTGTGCCACCTTTACCACGCTCGTTTGTCATTTCATCGCCTGCTCTCCAGCCAATCGCTCTCACCATGCGTGTCATGCTTGGCGTGCCCATTCTGCTAAAGGCTCGACGGTGTCACTCCTTTGCCTGACCCTCATGATGGATACCCAAGTCCAAAGTCTTCGGTGATAGCACGTCCGTTACTAACTCGCTTCCTACATACCACGCAATTTCCGTCCAATGCAAACAATCAGTATCTTCCTTTTTACAATCTAAGCAGAAACTTCAAGTCACGGTTCTATCTCGTATCTGTGACGTTATTTCCTCTTGCAATCACGCCCTTTCTTCTGTCATGCCAATTGCCGAGTTCTCCAACCCCCTGCAACAACCCGATATCGAGGAACACGGCGCTGTATTGGGCGGTTGTAAATAATCAGCGAGATGTCCATTGGGCGTTTGAATCCCCCCCCCCCCCCCGATATACAGCTGCTGGCTAGTACGTTACAGTTTAGTTAGACACCAAACCCTGCAAGATCTCCAAAGTAGTTTGGAAACGGTTGGATGATGAACGAGTAAGTCTTCTAACTCCAGCGTTATCAGTTTGATCAATTTCGCAGGATGTGTTCCCCTGTGCTCGCAAAGTTGTTATCATCCATCGATGTGTATTTCAACTTCACCCCAAACTAACTGTCTTGCAGTAGCAACACCGTATATGTGGATTCTGATGGCAGCATATATAGAAAGCTCGAGATAACGGTAAAAAACGCCATCATGCCAGGTGAGGTCAGTCAATCTATCCCTTCGATCCAGACATCTGCTCAGGATGTTCCATTCGATATAGCTGATCATGGTATATTGGTACTTGTGTTGTCATAACGAAAGCAAGCAATGGCCTAATGTCGATGAGCTAGCGGCACGGTGCACGAATATTTATTTGACAGATCTCTGACAAGTGGGAAAGAGGAGGAAAACCACAAGCAAGGAAATTATTCAAGCTAATCCCGCATCATGTTTTGCCGTGTAGTTTCGCTTCGTTGTGATCATAGGCTGTTGTTTCTCTAGTGAGTAGATTAACAATTCATCTGGGTCCATATGAACTTGATGCTAGATTCACTGAAAGACCAAGGATTCTACAGCGCCACCGACAAACAGGGGGCGTGATAGTGCTGAAAGACTTTTGTGCCGGCGAATCCGGTAATTTGAGTCGAAATGATGATCTGGAGTGCAAATCGGTGCAACACACGTCGAGAAGACAGTTAGAAGCATTCCAGGAAATCATACATGTTTTTAATGCGTGTCCACTCTTTCATGATCAGCACTCAATATTTACTTTGCTAGTCGTGCAGATTTGCGGTCTGAGTTTCTCGCAGTCGTTTTCTCTGGGGATAAGGTTAAACCCGGACGATCGGCTTGGCTAATCCAATCACGAGTTCAATAGCCCAGTTACAGGAGCAACGCCCAGAGGTCAATAGGGGCGATATATAAGACGCGTCGCCGGGGCCACTGCTGTTGCCGCACTACTGAGTCTTACCTAAATATGGCCCACACACAGTTTCTGTATGACCCATTCACTGAATTCGACCGTCTTTTTGACGATGCGTTTACTTCACGCTTCCGGCCTGACTCCGACGAGGCTCGTCCTACAACAATCCGCCCCAAGTACGTGCTGCCTGTACGGGAACGATGATGTACTCTGACATTTTGAATACGCAGGATGGACCTGATTGAGACAAAAGACAACCAGGTCGTGGCAAGGTTCGAACTCCCCGGCATAGCACAGGGGGAGGTTAACGTTGAAGTGCATAATGACCGCCTGACCATCTCGGGCGAGAAGAAAACCGAGACTGGAGAGGGTCGGTTTGCGGTGCGCGAGCGCTCTTTCGGACGTTTTGCTCGAACTCTGCAGCTCCCTGAGGGAACTAAGGTACGATCACACACAACGGTGAACACGAGCTTGGCACTGATGTAACATGCTTGTCGCAACTAAGCCTGGACAAATCCAGGCGAATATGAAGGAGGGCATCCTTCGGGTCGCCTTCCCAAAGGCGCCTCCAGAGCAGGAGACAAAAACTATCCCTATCGAGGGACCACCCCCTGACAAGGGGAAAGGTAGCAAGAAATAAATCAAGTTTGGAGCAATTGAGTCTGGAGATCCAGTCGTGTACTCTTGATGTACTCTTAACTTTCTTTACTTGATTGTGTGATTATGCGTCGCTTTCGAATTCTGCATCAGTAGCAGCTCTAGGATTCGGAATTGTGTATTTCTCGGCCGTAGCCTGAGTATCAGTATTGGCCCAGCATTTTTTCTCACGGGGAGACCAATACTTGAATCGTGCAGATGTCGATGAAGGCTGGTTTGAAGACACTTGAACGTGGAGATGGAGTTAGGAACGAACTTTGCTGCAAAGCTCGAGCCATTTCTTCTCATCTCAAAGTCAGCCAAGGGTGCAGCAGCAGCGAAACTTATTCAGGATGCCACTTCAGCTCAAGGCGTGTTTGTCTTTGCCGAGCTCCTTGAGCTCCCTAATATTCAGGAGGTATGTCATGGCATCTCTGGTCGCTGCTCTCTTTATCTATATTCCGCGAAACAGCTGGCAAACAACGAGCAGCATGCTCCTTTCTTCTCCCTGCTGCAGGTATTCTCGTATCGGACGTACAAAGATTACCTTGGTTTGTGGATCATCGTCTCACACTGTTATTCGCGCTGACGGTCATGCAGCAAACAAGGACTCGCTGCCTCAACTAAACCAAGCTCAAATAATCAAGCTTAAGCACCTGTCTATCGTATCGCTTGCCGCCAGCAGACGCGTACGTCCAGGCATACCCTAACAGTTAGTCCACTAACACTACTGAACACTACCCTTTCAGATTCTCCCATACTCTCTCCTCCTACAAGAGCTACAAATGCCCACGATCCGCGATCTTGAAGATCTCATAATTGATGCGATATATCTCGACATCCTCCGCGGGAAGCTCGACCAGAAGGAGCAGCAACTTGAGATTGAGTACACGATGGGACGAGATCTCGAGCCTGGAAAGGCAGACGCAGTGCTTGCGGCCCTAAAGACATGGTGTGTATTATTTCAGCTTTTATTCCAGCTCCTCTTGTCCGGACCAATCATGGTCTTTTCTAGGGCTTCGACAACCGCTTCTGTCCTTTCCGCATTAGATAATAAGCTCGCCCAGATAGCTTCTTACAGTGCGGCTGTTGCAGTGGATAATGAAGAGCACGATAGGGCATATAATGCTATCCTCAAAGATGTGTCCAAGGACACGAAAAAGCGAGGACCATTGACGGCTAGTGGGAATATCATGCGAGGTGGCGTCGATTTGGCAGATGCGATGGATGTTGACGAAGAGCCGAGAATGAAAGGACGGAAGTAAGTTCTATTTTCTTCTTTTTCGTTTTTACTCTTGCCTGCTACAATCTTTCCGAATCCTCAAGCCGCCCGACCTACTGTGTTGTACTGAGCACTGACGGATCTTTTACAGGGGCATGGCGGTCGATGCAATGATAAAGCAGCAACGAAAGCGCAACCGATTCTAATTCTAGGTCTAGATACATACACTGCAGTGTATATTCCAACTAGCATTCACGATCCACACTGTACTATTAACTCAAGTATTTGATTTTGCCTCGTCGACACCACTTCCCAGTTCTCCTAGCAGTTGACCGGGCCCTGCTGCTGCTCGCTTGCCATATCTCCAAAGAACCGAACTACCAGCACTATTACACGGTTGGATTCAGTTGTATACCAGGACCCTGAGATGAAGCAAGGTGCTGGGAGACGCTAGAGGACCCCTTCCGTGGAGCCTTGGAAAGAAAACATCACTTCTCATGAACAGGATTCTCTCGAAGAGCAGATATTGCGAGCTACGTGACGTATGGCTTGACGTGTGACTCTTAAGCCACTGTGTTCTTTCCTTTTCACTGGGCTAATATTCTAAGAGCCTGCCCCCGCATGGCCAGGTCGGGGTGTTGTCAGGGCTGCCGCTCATGGCCGTACGAGTGACAGTTTTGGGAGTGGAAGATTGGTGGGCAATTCTTAGCTAACATCGCGAGTTTGTATCTGTTCCTTGCACCGCATTAAAAATTGTATGCAGCACGAAAACCCCGTTGCCAAATGATAATGCCCATGCAAAAATCAGGATGACCGAGCTTGAAGATCCCTTTGAATCTGGACCTGAGCTTCGTCACAAGCCGGCAATACATAGAAAGAATCACCGCCTTTATCACGTCCTCCGACTTAACTTGAAGGACGATCGTCGGCGGTCTCATGGCCATGGAGCCTGAGATTGGCCCGAGGCTAGTGTTGTGGGCAGAACTCAGGGTTGGCAGAGAACTAGTCCATAATAATATATACACTGTGTATAACTTTACAAGTGTGAAAACAGAGTTGCAGATGCTCTCGGCTGATCCTTCGTCTTAGAGTATGGTCTATGTGGGTGGCCGCTCAGTGCCATCCCTAATCAACGATAACTTTGAGCATCTCGACAAAGTTGCCAACAGCTCTGGCCGCTACCTCTGGAAATGCAACCACTGTAGTCACCTCGACAGTTCCCCTAGTGCCAAAATCCAAGGTCGCGACAATAACCTGGCTAGCCATATCATCCGCTACTGCAAGGATGCTACTCCCGAGCTTCGCCATGCCCCCACTTGCGGCAGAACCACAAGATGCAGACGACCTCCTTGCAGGTCCCGAGACCATATCAGTTGATTAAATTGCCGAAGCATTTGTCGCTCTCGAAGTACAGGAAGAATTTGTGAATATTGACAACTTGGAGGTCCTTGGAGGGAAGGCATTTGATTTTGCCGAATTGGAGCGTGTTGACCAAGGGATAATACCCCAAGTTGCTGTAGATGAGGTTGATGTCATGAATCATGATGGTGAGGATGATGGATGGAACGAGGCGTCATTGATGTCTTCGGGAGGACCGTCATTGATGTTGTAGATAGGAAAGTTTCACCGCTAGAGTTATGCCACTCGGCAGAACCCGTTATTCTGCCGGTTCTACCGGCAAAACTAACCTCAAACTCGCGTGCGAATATCTTACGTCAGCAGCTGCAAAGTCCATAAAAATTGTTGTCGGTTGGATGACCGTCATAGCTGTTTCTTGTTCCAAACTTCTTGGTTGATGGGTTGAACTCACAGGTGAGATTTTATACCTTTAGCCGATTTTTTATTGTGATGATTGTATTGCTGTGCACCAGACCGAGTGTCCGCACGTTGGAGATAATTTCCCTGGCTCTCTATTTACGTTTGAGGGTCCTGATCCACTATTTTTTGCATCTATCGTATGCGTTGATCATAACTGACAATACTTGCCCGTAGGTATCCGGAATACACTCTTGATCCGGGAATTGGGATATTTATTATGCTTGTTGTACCGAGACCTATCTCAAAAGCACACCCTACAATATTGATATCATGATCATCCCACAATCTGATTACGCTGTGTTGATGCGTATGTTGATGGATTTCGCCCTTGTGAGTTGGTCGTATCCTGTGGCTGCATTAGTAGCCTCAACGCGAGCTGTGTCAATGGGAACGCACCGAATTTGCTTAGACTGACGCCACGTCCACTGTTCTTGATCCCTGTCCAAGCCAAGGCTGGGTCGAGCGAATCGCATCTTAAAGCATGGGAATCAGTGTGGTGTATGACCAGCAATCCGGATGACGAATCCACACCTATTGAGAAATATTGTTCCAGTTTGCACTTGGTCTGCGAGGGTGCTGAAGTCATCCAATGATTTGGTCCAGATGGAAGCGGTAAGACCGTATTCCGACTCATTCATGAGTTCAATTGCTTCTGCATCAGACGAGACCTGCTGAAGCTTATTACCGATCTTTGAAGACAACACTGATCAAATCACCTTCTGGATGCCAATGATGGGTCCGAACGTCTCTTCCTGCATCAAATTAGACACAACTTTTGCATGATAGGAGAAGGATTGACTTTCATGACGTCCATCGCTGTTGTCGGAACCTCAGAACAGTATCAAAGGACGCGAATATAACAAGCTCACTGTGATTCACATCAACCAGGACTTGGGGCGCAACAAAGGCAGTGCCTCTGAAGATGCTGAATACCCGTTTCTGTCATACAAACCTTAACTTACGGTTCTGCCTTTGGATACAGGTTCTCGGGTATTAGTGCTTTCGCGCCCGTTTGCACTACGATATGATCAGCCAGTAGCAGTACGATTTGTGGAACACTTGCCTGCACTGGAAACCTGCTGGCGAATTCTCTCTGCACTAGCAATGCTGATCACTGGACCAATGGTCGTTTGCTTGTTCGTAGGATCCCCCAGTACGAGTTTCTAGACTTACGTTCAAGCTACATCAAAATATTCCACAGGAGTCACGACTTGCCTTGGTTTCGTTGACATATTCATCTACAAAATTGTCATACACGGACTCGTGAACATAGATCCGCTGTTCAGCTGAGGTAAGTCATGCCTCGACGTTGAAAGTAATATTTCTTACTTCGACTGCACAGCAACTCTGCCCAGCGTTGTACATTGCACCTACGCACATCGGTGAGAGAGCAGCTTAGTTGTACATTTATTGACTTACCATCAACTAGCTGTATTACTGCATCTTTCAAGTCAGCATCTGCGCGAACATATGCTGGATCCTTTCCTCCGAGCTAAAAGTCCTTTGACTTAGCGACTCATACTTTTGATGGTGAAACACCACACCTCCAAACTAACGCCCTTGAATCCATCAGCAGCAACGGCTGCCGTTTCAATCGCTTTCCCTCCTGCCACGCTGCCTGTGAACACAACAAAATCGACTAGCTTATGCTGTACGACATATCGAGTAAGCGGCAGCGAGAGGTGCACGACTTGTATGAGATCGGTTGGAAATCCAGCGTTGTTCAAGGCTTCCTTGAATCGCACGGCTGTGAGAGGCGTTTGGGGAGAAGGTTTCAAAATAACGGCATTTCCAGCGATGAGCGCCGGAAGTACAGAATTGATCATAACAAGATACGGGTAGCTGGAAAAGATGAATCTCGAGTATCTTCAAGACTAAATATGCTCACTTCCATGGAGCGATGACGAAGATGACACCGAGGGGAACGCGTTTGATTGAGCGACTAAAACCAGGTTGATTATCTGAAAAGGTTATGTCTGAGAGACATGATTCAGCAATGTCGACCATATAGGTTGCGCGCTGTAGAAATCCTCTAAACTCCCCCCAACACTGATCGGTGGGCCTAGTGTGTGCACTCCGAATCAGTACGTTCGCGACATTTTACCCGTAAAGGCATGCACCTGCCCATCTGATTACACAGCTCTTCGGCAAGGTTATGGTGTCCAAGGGGACCATGATCGTATGTTGCTGGTGCCTCTCGATTCGCAAGAGCAGAAAAATTCTCCTAGAGGGCGTGTAATGCAGCTCTGAAAGTACCACTTTATCAAGAGCACACGGACAATGAATTTGCGACCTTTCGCGATACGTTCGTCCAGTGTAGTCTGGATCCACTCTTTCTGAGACTGTGCTGCACTTTCGAGAGTGCGGTCTAGATCACTAGAAACAGGATATGTTTCTACATGGTATGCCTGACCATTATGGGGTGAGATAGTTGTCTGAACATGGAGATCGAATGAGCTGGACATGGTAGTAGAAGATGAACTAGTCGATACGGATACACGGCGCGTCTCTTGGTCAAAAATCTATTTTTTTTGTCAAGATCATATCTAAACCTGCTAAGCACCGACTCCACTGGGAAGGTTGATAAGAGTCACGTGGGTATGAGGTCAGTCCTATAAGACGTAGCTCAAAATCATTTGCTCGACTTTGGAAATTGGAATCACCCAATAACATGGCCAGCTCCATCTCCACAGATGTCGTGCCTCCCAAATCGCTCGCCATCGCCATGCCCGATGATCCCTTGAAGCGTGACATCCAGAACCCAATCCTCTTCGAGTGTGCTTGGGAGGTTGCTAACAAGGTTGGAGGCATATACACAGTCATCAAGACCAAGGTCCCCGTGACCATGCAGACGTACGGTGATCGTTACACCCTCATTGGTCCCCTCATTTACAAGACAGCTCCTATGGAGGTTGAAACGCAAGAACCCACTGATCCTGCTTTAGTCGCAACACTCCAGTCCATGAGAGCACAGGGTGTGAAATGCCTCTATGGTCGATGGCTCATAGAGGGTGCTCCACGTGTCCTACTCTTCGATACCGGCAGCCAATATCACCGTCTTGATGAGTGGAAGGCCGATCTTTGGAATCTTGCAGGCATCCCATCACCTCCCAATGACCACGAGACAAACGAGACCATCGTCTTTGGTTATCTTGTAGCATGGTTTCTTGGCGAGGTATGTGGTTAATCTACTCCAACTGATTGGCTCCCTACTTATCAACGCTCAGTATGTTGCGCACAAAGCTCATACAGCTGTAGTTGCCCACTTCCACGAATGGCAGGCAGGGCTTGCTATTCCCCTCGCCCGAAAACGCCACATCGATGTTACCACCGTTTTTACGACACACGCAACCCTGCTCGGTCGCTATCTCTGCGCTGGAAGCGTCGACTTCTACAATAACCTATCCTACTTTGACGTTGACCACGAAGCTGGCAAGCGTGGCATATACCACCGCTACTGCATCGAACGTGCTGCTGCACACTGCGCGGATGTTTTCACGACCGTTAGCGGAATTACTGCATGGGAGAGTGAGCATCTCTTGAAGAGGAAACCGGATGGTGTCCTTCCAAATGGCTTGAACGTGGTCAAGTTCCAGGCAATGCACGAGTTCCAGAATCTGCATGCGACTTCCAAGGAGAAAATCAATGAGTTCGTTCGTGGGCATTTCTATGGTCACTATGATTTCGATCTCGAAAACACCATTTATGTACGTCGTGCCCCTCTTCTGTATTACTCCAACCAATCACATCCACCAGATGTTCACAGCCGGTCGGTATGAGTACCGTAACAAGGGCGTCGATATGTTCATCGAGTCCCTTGCTCGTCTCAATCACCGCCTCCAGCAGAGTCAGAGCAAGACCACAGTTATCGCGTTCATCATCATGCCCGCTGCCACCAATAGTTATACTATTGAAGCTCTTAAGGGTCAAGCAGTTATGAAGCAGCTACGCGATACCGTTACCGAGGTACAGGCCCGTGTTGGCGCACGACTGTTTGAGCACGCTGCGCGGTTCCATGGTGAGGGTCGCACAGTGGTCGCGCCAGAGGACCTCCTAAGCGCAGAGGACCAAGTCCTATTGAAACGTCGCATTTTCGCGCTCAAGCGACACACTCTTCCCCCGATTGTTACACACAATATGGCAGACGACTCGAGCGACCCGATCCTCAATCAGCTACGGCGCGTACGTCTCTTCAATACACCGGGAGACCGCGTCAAGGTCATCTTTCATCCTGAATTTTTGAACTCAAATAACCCGATCCTGGGTCTCGATTACGAAGAATTCGTGCGAGGGTGCCATCTGGGTGTATTTCCGAGTTACTACGAACCATGGGGATACACCCCCGCGGAGTGCACCGTGGTACGTTGTATATTCGTTATATCGTGCGATTCGAGCTCATTCGAGTAGATGGGTATCCCTAGTGTTACAACAAACCTCTCCGGATTCGGGTGCTTTATGGAGGATTCGATCCATAATCCCTCTGACGAGGGTATCTACATTATCGACCGACGCACTACCTCCATTGATGACAGCGTCAACGCGCTCGCGAACTCGATGTTCGACTTTGTCAGGAAAACACGGCGCCAGCGGATCAACCAGCGAAACCGAGTCGAGCGACTCTCGCCACTTCTAGATTGGAAGAATCTTGGCCTTGAGTACGAGAAGGCCCGGATGCTTGCGCTTCGGAGGGCATACCCTGACGCATTCATTGGCGCAGACGAGGACAACGGGGAAGATGTGGAGTGGGGCTTTGGGGAATTCCCAGTTTCTGTCCAAGCCAGTCCGAGGCTCAGAATTTCGGGGCTCGCGACACCAGGTGATCTTGGAACACTTACAGAGGAGGTAGGCATCTTTTGTCATGAGGCGAGTTGGGATGTACTGATTATTGTATAGATGCAACGCTTAGAAACTAGCGATTACAGGGGCCATTGGTCGCGTACAGGGGAAGATGATGAGGACGAATATCCCTTGTAAGTGCTTTCTGACCTACTGGTGTTTTACTCATGTGTTCCTGTACCCAGCCCTCTTGTCATGAAAGTGCGCTCGCGAGCGTCCTCCGTGATGTCCGGGGCAAGCACGCCCGGGGGTGGGGCATTCAAGAGCCTCAGCGAACACGATCTTCAAAAGGCGGACGCTGCGCTCAGCCAGGTGAACGGAGTGTCTACCGCCTCTCCAGCTGCATAGGTGACACATCTGGCTGAGTATACAACCCGAATCTAGGCTCGTGATATCGAATGACTCAAGCTTGGTTGCTGGCTTGGTGCTAGGATCCAGAAGCCTTCATGTTACGAATGCATGCTTGCTCTTATTTTCTCTAAATACCCTGGTTTTTGACTTCCAGAAATCTGGTTACATGTTTTCTGGTCATCTTCACGTCATGATCTATGTTCAGCTATCGAGATTGGTACTCATATCTGCTTTTATGTCTTATGCTTCTGAATTGTACGTACGCCTTTACAAGATACGTTGCATATCCAGACTCCATACGCATTATGGACTCTATGTATCCAAGGCTCTTCCTTGATTGCACTTGGATCTATTCTTTATCACCATCACTGCCAGAAATGCGACGCCGAGATATCGGTAAGCGATTAAAGAGAACGTAAGGTCTTTATGTAAAGCTGGTCTTAGTCATTTATGTACTGGGAACATTGTATGATGCTCGCGAACTGCTCGGACGAGTCCTCGTTTGTTGACCCATCATGGCACCCATCCCTTTGATACCGTTGACTATCGCCACTCTGCTCAGTGTACATGGACTGCGCTCGCGATCACTTTCTTTCTCCGGTGCAGTGACCGCATTCGTGGTTGGCTTCAGCATTCTTGCAGTGCCTGTGCGGACCATTGGGATCACTCTCATCGTGTTCTACTTGATCGGGTCTAGAGCCACTAAATGTAAGTGTTGACCAAATGAGTGATTCCACTGGCATGTCTTTTGACCAACAATTAGATGGCAAAAAACGGAAGGCTCAGCTTGAAGATGACTATCAAGACGCTGGCTACCGATCAGGCGCCCAAGTTCTCTGCAACTCATTCACCGCGTTACTTGCGAGTGGAATATGGTGTCTTGCCTTTGCGCCTGATATCTTGCCGTGGAGTCTAGTTAACTCTTACATCCCTTCTGTTTCAGTATTGCTGGAGAGTGTCCCATACCAAGATGGCCAATGGTGCCCACTGGACGCAACGGTATCAAGTGGATTGAGTCGCGCGCTGATGTTTATGGTGCTTGGGTAAGCTCCGCCCTTCTACTTAATGTATCTTGTTCATTGGCCTATAAATACCGTGCCACCAGCCACTTTGCCTGCTGCCTGGGGGATACTCTCGCATCAGAACTCGGTATCCTCTCTTCCCGCCCGCCAATCCTTATCACGACGCTGAAAACTGTTCCACCCGGTACAAACGGTGGTGTTTCACTCGGCGGGACACTTGCCAGCTTATTTGGCGGTTTGTCCATGGGTGTAACAATATTCGTTTCACTCATTGTAGAGAATGCACACTGCAGGAGCAGTTGGATGACTATTCTTCCGTCACTCGTATTCTGGGGTAGTGTGGCAGGTGCTGGCGGGAGCTTGGTAGGATTCGACTTGTGTCACAATTGTGCCGTGTATTAATGCGACGACACTAGCTGGATTCGTTCCTCGGAGCGACCGTACAGCGCACACGCTACTCAGTTGACAAAAAGATCATTCTTACTGGCCATTCGGCGGAACCTGATCGCGGGCGGAAAGACACTGTCAAAGTTATTAGCGGACTCAATTTATTGACAAACAACCAGGCAAGCTAATTTTATACTTCTCTATCTTGATGCTAACTGTCCCACAGGTCAACCTGCTGTCATCGATAGGGACTGCGCTCATTGTCGCAAGATTTGCCTCAATATGATTATTTTCTGTGCTTCATCTGTAGAAACTCCTGATCGCAGCTGTATGCCTCCAACCATGCCACCACATTCAAATTTTCTCTTGACAGGAATCATAGGAGATACTGAAAAGGATTCGAGTCAGTCCGAGTTCTGTGTGCAGTAACATTGATTCGAGGATGAGACTGGCTGCAGTTTGTGTTCTCAGACCTTCCTTTACAGGTTCCTCACCTTGAGAACCACTCTAACATACAACAGTTAAGTCAGGAAACAATAGCTCCGGCCGCGGCAAATTGGGTGATGAGGCACGCGCTGGCCGTCGTGATGACCTAATAGATCTGTAGTATAGGTTGCAGGAACGGATCACAGCATAGTAAGATTCGTAATTATATATGAGATAAGACAATAGTTCATACCACCAAGTACTATCGGGCTCACATAGATACGGATCCACCAGCAAAGTATAAGGACTAGCTCCCTGTTCTCTGTGTCAATATGAATACGATGCCAGGACTGACATGCAAATGAATATCAATAACATCACTTAGACTGCACTGCAAGGTCAAAAATCACACATCACACATGCTTTAAACTGGCCAAGAATGTGGAGAGAAGCGGCATTGTGATTGAAGCTGCGTCATTCTGGTCACGAATTCAACCTCGATCCCAGTGGGCGAGTGCCGACGCGATGCATTTATCTAATCAACTGTTTTAAACCTCGACCGCTGGAGGGCGAGCGACATGCATGCGTGCCGGGACGATTGAGGCCCATTGACTCTATCACTGCAACACACGTGTCTGAAATAGCAAATCTTGAAACTATTGGTGATCTACACGTGTGTCTACAACAGGAATTTAGACGAGTGACAAGCCGCATGTGTCTGTATGTCCATAGGAAGACTCTTGCAAAGGGCATACCAGTGTCAGCGACGTGCATGATGCATGACGTTGCGAGGTATCACACGTAGATGGGATTACCGCACGGCACTAGTTCACTACTTGATACGATCATATCGCTTTGCGGCGGTTCACGGTAGTACCGGCCAGGGCCAGTGGCAGCTGCCAAACCTGGCATTTTCCTCAAGATCTCTTGTGCGCTGGATATAATGTAGCTTTAGTATGCGTGGATATTGCTTTTTGACAATAGATAAACGTGGCACTACCTGAGGTGCAATTTTGAAAAGTCACTATCAAATACACTTCTTTCACGAAGCTGAGAGGATATGGCCGTTCGGGTTAGCTCCGCGGTGCGAACTGTTGGGGTTAGAGGCTAAGTATCACTATTCTGGTGACTCAGTACTAATTAACATTTAATTCTCGCTCCTGAGACTCAGATTTGGACAAATCTGCGACCGAGGATTTTAAACGTGCGCGCACTTGAAGTATTAACTAACAAGGTCTGCAGGAGAATGATAGCGTCGGAATAGGATCCGTTGTAAGCGGTAACGAGTTAACATATCTGATAGCGATTAGGCCTCATGACATTTGATAGCGTGTGACACATAAGTATATTATTGTTTGAGCATATGGCGCCAGTGAATGCGAAGGCTTCGCCTTCGGAATGGATCCCAGTCCATAGCACCGCCGGCACGCATTATTTATTATAATGCTTAAGGATAAAAACACATGCATTGATCTCACATGCAAGTTGGAATTCATACTAGCGCTTTGTTGAATCCTGCCTCTTCCTTCCCTATCTTTGTATCACTATAGACTGCCGCTATGCGTCCGCTCACGTTCCTTCTAATCATGTTCGATGTGCTTACGTCTCTGCAGGTCTTATCATCCGCGACGACCCTGCCACTGTCGGCGACTATGTTGCCAACTACATTGCCAAACGGTACTATCCTCATATCCATATTTCCCTGTCCACGACTCATTCCTTTCCCCTAGCATTAATGGCTTTGCACCGACCGCTGACAAACCTTTCGTGCTCGGTCTCCCAACAGGCTCCTCTCCTATCCCAACTTACAAAGCTCTCATCAACAAAGTCAAGGAGGGCAGCCTATCGTAAGTGCTGAACAGTACACTTGAAGTCGCGTTTATCCACTCATGACTCCAGGTTCAAGCACGTCGTCACTTTCAACATGGATGAGTATGTCGGCATTCCTCGTGACCACTCAGAGTCCTACCACACATTCATGTTCCGCGAGTTTTTCTCCCATAGTCAGTCTAGTCCAGCCACCCTCGCTGAAAATCCTGTACTAATTTCATAAATGCAGTCGATATTCCCCCTTCCCAAGTGAATTTACTAGATGGGAACGCTGAAGACTTGGTCGCAGAATGCAACGCATACGAGTCCCGCATCAAGCAGTGTGGTGGTATCGAGCTCTTCCTGGGTGGTATTGGTGAGGATGGTCATATCGCATTCAACGAACCTGGTATGTTTCGTTTCTTTCGCCACTTCACTCCCTTTGATATTGTATCGTCTGCGACTTCTTTGCCGTATTATTGTTCTATCTTCTTTCCACGTTCACCAACTGAATAAATGCTCGTTCCTATGAAAGGCTCGTCCCTCGCCTCCCGGACCCGCATCAAGACACTCGCTTACGACACCATCCTCGCCAACGCCCGCTTCTTCAACAACAACATTGCTGCTGTCCCCCGTATGGCCCTTACAGTCGGTGTTGCCACAGTACTTGAAGCCAGGGAAGTCGTGGTTGTGGTCACAGGCCAAAGGAAGAGCTTGGCTCTTAGCAAGGCTATTGGTGAGTCATGGTTTCATGCCATCTTCGGGCTCATTCATTGGTTTTCTGATTTCAACTTTTTCGTGGTGTGCACTCACTTACAGAGGACGGCGTAAACCACCTTGTGAGTAGGCCATTTTCTAATACCTTGCAAAACTCACGCTGAGGTGACTCCTAATGTAGTGGACTCTTTCTGCGCTGCAGCTCCATCCTTGGGCGTTGATTGTAGTCGATGAGGATGCTACAGCTGGTGCGTGCTGTCGTTCTGATACAATACGACTTTCGGTTGACATACGGATGTTGTCTGTCACCCCTCACTTGAAATCCTACTTTTCTCGTCCACCCATTCTGAATGAAACAAAAACTGCGGAACCGCATCCCAGAGTTGCATGTTAAAACAGTCAAATATTTCAAGTCAATTGAACGCGTGCAAGACGAGGTGGAGCAACGGCAGGCAGAGCTGAAGGCGAGAGGTCGGACAGAGCATCAGGGGCAGGTCGGCAGTATGGAGTGATGCTATCTGTCCATACTATGAGCTACAGTATGATGATCAAGCGGAACAGACAAGAGATATATTGAATCTAATACTGAGTAGTGAGATTCAAAGTAAGATCTCGAAGCCCAGGAAGATAATCCAGTAGCTCACAACCGCTCGTTTCGTTTGTTTGGGTCCATTTCGTTCTGAAACGGACTACTCCCATGGGTGTCACACTCGTACGTATGAACTCAGTAGATACTACATCAGATAATGAATGATAACCATCAGTTTGCTGCTTGAGCTCTACAACTATGACCTCTTCATCATCACAGAAGAGAAAGGCCCCCCAAACCTCTTTTAAGGCAACACACTCGCAGAAAGAGAGCTGCAGACTGCAGTGCTAGCTGCTGCATTTTCAGCTCATCAGGAAAACCTCAGCTGGCGAAATTTATGCCTCGGCACACCATATACGGTAATTCAGTCACGTGATGATGGAACCTCGGGGTTCCCCGCTTTGTTTGGTGTTGGTTTGGTGCCTCTTTTGCCTCGGTGCCTTCCCTAGCGCCCTTCTTGTTTTGGTAGTTAGTAGTGGGGATGGGCAACGCCTCTAAGAAAGGCGTGACATTATGTAATCAAAATTGTAGCAGTACGAGCGGCACACTGTAGCAAACTGTGTATGGAGAAGCCTTTTGACACTATCAAGATCATAAGTACCTATAAAATGCTGTATTGTTGAATTATAATAAATTCTAAACATTATGCATTAATAGCCATGGTCAACAAAACATAAGGGTCACTCATCATTATACTCATCCTAAGCATCCAAGCATTCCCTGAGCATTGTTACTACCGTCTGGCTGCTCCATCGAGTGCTGCATATCATGTTTAGGGCGTGTTTCACCTCATATGTAGTGCCCAACTGCATCCATCAATACCTCAACCCTTTTTGCTTTTCCTGATGGTGTGTTTTTTGCAGCAGGCACATCCTTGTCAAATTGACGATGCCACTGGATCTGCAGGTTAATTTCGTTGACATAGAGCTTTTCAACTTCTGCAAGGGTCAAATGAGGCACAACTGCAGTGAGCTTAGCCTCTGCAGCATCCTGCCATTCCTTCCTCCACACATCCAGCTGCTTGTTCTTCCTCACCTGCTCCTTATCATAGTTAGCCTGCACAACCCGCTGTTTTCACTCATCACCTTGTGTATCAACAGCATGAGCCTGCTTGAGCAACCTCTTTTGAGCCCCTGGCTGAAGAAAATTCTGTATGTAAGTTCCTGTCATGTTCTTCTTGTATATGAACCAAGAGTTGAGGTGTGACAAGGACATGTGCAGTGCTTGCTGCAAAGATGTATGGACTGTCCCTAGGGCACCTTTGTTGTTGTCATTTGTTGTTTTCATGTAAGCCATCTCTCTTTGAGCAGTGGATGACTTATCTATCACTCCACCAGCAGTGAACTCGCCACAAAAGCAGACCCAAGTGTCAAGAGCACCTTCCAAAAATGTGACAAGAAGACAATGAAGGTGAGGGTAATTTTTTTGGTCTTGGGCGATTTGCTGGATTGCATAAAATGCCTCTGGATGCTTGAATGGCCTACCATCCAGGGTTGCTGTTTCGTGAGAGGTGCTTGGACCCAAAACAAGGTCAACATCTGCAATGAGACACTGTAGGTGAGCAATGACCTTGGTATGAATGGGCCCCAGGTCCAGTATGTTGGTGGATGAATTTTGGATGGTTCATAGATATGGATGGGTGAGGCATTGGTTGTATGATGCCCAGCATGTAATTTCCTCCTCTGTCCTGAGACACAAGAAGCCTTGGAAGACATTCTGCTCCATGTTTGTGTGTGTCCAGCTTTCTTTTTTGAATAGTATGATCTCCAGGAACTGCATGTACCAAGATTTGTGAACAAGATACTTGCATGCAGCATCACCATGGCTGTGATAGCAAGTGTTACTTGTGTCAGGCCATTGACTGGTGAACCCTAACTCTGTCTCAAGATAATATTGAAGGGAGTAGTGTTGGCCCTTTTTGTCATCCTTGTGATAAAATACACTGCCTGCAAGATCCAAAGTCTTCTGCCCACCTCCTGTTGACACCTGAACAGCCTGATCTTTGGCTACTGAGGAACCTGCTGATGCTGCAGCTGCATTGTCCTTATTCATCAATAGGACAGGGCTGTCAACACCATTCTGTTCCCACCATGCTTGCATCCTTGTATTCCCCCCTTTAGCCACATTTAGCTCCTTATGCATGCAACAGCCTGCCCACACGAAAAAATCCACAGCCTCCTTTTCAGCACTTGAGAGGGATGCAAACTCCTTCTCTCCAAAGGTCATGCACAGTTGATGGATGGCTTTGCTAGAATGGAGCTGCCACTCATCTGGAGAAAGCAAATCCCATTGCTGATAGCCACCCACAGTCTCAATGACATTTTCCATCATTTCCGAAAGTAGATGTATGACATCAGCCAGAGGTAAGCAGGTGAGTGCCTTTTCACCATGAACTTCTTGCTTGCATTCTTGTTTCCACTCTGCAAACAGACAAACAAGCTTCTTCTGGTCTTCAGCATGGTCTGTCAATATTCCTTTGACTTTTGGGGCAAAATCCTGAATGTCTGCAGCATCATGACCCTCCATGACATCATTGTAGGTGGAGTACATTTCAGTAGCTTGATGTTTCCACCCTTGCAACTGAGTCTCGCTAGTGTGGTTGACTTCATGCAGAATTCCTGCCAATCAAGTCACAGTTTGCCCATCTGGCAGAGTAAGAGTGACATGGTGGGACTGGTAATTGATATTTTTGTGGGTGGTACCATCTCCGCTTACATAACTCCTGTTTTGCAGGGGTTGGGGTCAAGATCTCTTTGATTCTGAGTCAAATAACTTGCATACCTCTTGCACAAGTGATCTTGTCAACTAGCTGTGTCTCTGCTGCAATACCACCTTCAATTACCATCCGGTGAATACTGCATTGGCTAACATCTCCCTCCACCTCAACACCTAATGCCTCCACTACCACATTGATTGTGGCATTGATGCTCTGAAGAGGTATGTCCAGATTTGCAACCAAGTCTCACACCATCACACAGGATACATTTGTAGACATGCCTTTCTCCTTGAGAGAAAAGGTGCTGGCAGCTTTGGTGGCAAGGATATTCCATGCCTTCTCGTTTGCATGTGTTTTTGCTGCTGAGGCATGTGTGATGTGCATTACGAGTGCATGGTTTTGTTTGGTGAGTGACTTGTTTTTGTGGTGCAGGTGGCTGATGCTTTGCATAGCATTATCAAGATGCTCTCGTGTCTTCTTGGCTACTGCTGTGATCTCTGCATTTGACAACTGCAATGAGTGCATCTGCATCTGCAGACTTGCAGCAGCACAGTCCTTTCATGTGGCCTGCTTGCGCTCACTTTGGTAGTGCCTCTTGTAAGTAATGGCTTTCTCTTGTTGCATGGTGAGCTCATTTTGTGTCCATGTTACAGGTCTAGGAGTGGTGTTGCTGAAATTGGGTTATTCTCTTTTTCTGTGTGTCTTTGAGTTTAGGGATATACATAAGGTGAGCTTTTTGTTTGCTAGATCATTTCTTTGAGGGATTATAATGGTCACTTGTAATATATCTCTGTGCGATGAGGGCCATTGTGCTTGGCTTGATGTGTCAAAACATGTCACGTCATGCTTAATCTTAATTAGTCAGCACATATTTGGTGTGCTTCAAGATCACATGGCCACAGACAATTCAGTCACACTATTGTGGTCAAATTGGTATGAGGGGCTTTTTTTTTATCCCAACTTTGTATTCTCTGAAAAAAATCAGGAAAAAAGCTGCATTCTACCCCATTTGAAAATAGGATCACTGTGAAAGCAACACCTTTGTGTGTTTTGCCTCATAGAATACAAGTATCATCATATTTAATGTCCATCTGCTTCCAAGGTTTTTTGTTACAATGTGAATGTTAAACACTACCATGCAATATTTCTGCTGGACATTGATTCCAGCTGTAGAGCAGGAATTGGAAATCACAGTTGGAGTTTAAAGTTGGCAGGGTCTTGCCCATCCCCATTAATAGTCATTTCTCTGTTACTGGGGTAACAATATTTGATGGTGATGGTCCTGATCCTTTTGTCCCTTTGTCTTCCCTCATTCTTCCCTTCTCTCTCTATTGTGCTCTTGTTCTGTAAAATGTGTGTCCCCATGCATTTGTCTGTTGGTTGTCTGCCTTTTTGAAGGGCCCACACTGTGCCTATGGCCATGCTTAACTGTGTTTTGCTTGATGTGTGCCCACCTTTCATTGTCTCAAGGTGCATTTGTCTGAATGCACTAACAAATATTCATTGACTAATTTAAAGAGATGGGGCCATGATTATTAGTGCATATGTTATTGAAATCTACCTAACAGTCTACTACTTGCAGGGGATGATCTCTCCATGGTTCTTCTTGGCACATTTGATGGCAGTGAGTAGGGCTGTGTGTCCTTCCTTGTACTCTGGATATGTGGCAAGGAATGCCAACTCATTTCCTTGGTACTTTCAAATGGTGAGTGGCTTTGGGTGCTATTTGGGAGGCAGGTCACTCACTGTTCAAGGAACTCCAGTGTGACGAGAGCATGCTGGTGGTACTTTGAACTGAAGATGGCTTTGTTCTTTCCCTTGAGCCATACAGCTGGCCAGTCTTGGAGGGCCACATGCAGGCCATGTCTAGGATCAGCTTCTGTCCAGTGCTGGATGATATACCTCCAGGAGTCCTTCTTTGGAGCATAGCTCCCATCAGTGCACTGTATAGGAAGGTTTGGAATGTCCAAGCCCTTCTTGGGGAGTGGATGAGAGCCAAAGTTCATGCTGCCAGTGTTGTTTGGAGCAGAGACTGTTTGCTGTGGGATGAGTGTTGGTGACTTGCAAGGAAGAAAGGTACTGCAGAGTGGGTGCTGCAGTGGCTGGTGGACAAGAGTAGAGCTAGGTGGTCCATTTTTGCTGGAGATGAGTGTGTTCGTTAGGAAGCAGATGTCACTTTGCAAATCTGCGACATCCACTATGATGAACTGCTGCATGAGTTGCAGATCCTGGGAGCATGCAGGCTTGACAAGCTGGTGCTTGCCAAGCAAGAAGCCATCAGCCTCATTCTGTGTGGGACAAAGGGCATTGCTGTGGTTGTTTTTGTAAGTTGAGAGCTCATTGAGTAGGTACTGGATGAGTATATCATGCTGATTTATTTTCAGGAAGTCCATTGGCTGATATTGAGGGACTGTTGACTTACATTCTCATTTTCTGCCCATGATCCCCACCATCTTACCCTAGCCAACATCCAGTGCCACTGTGCTCTGCCACAATGGCAGGTGCAGGTGGTGAAACTGTCACCTGCACTGGTGGTTGCTTCATTGACCCAAGCCTGCACAGTGTCATGTGAGATATGTTCACCATGATGGACAATGCCATTAGAGCCAATTGCAGGGAAGAGGAAGTTGTCAGGCTTGAGCTTGTCATTGTAGTGAATATGCTTGAGAAGGGCAAGCCACAGCAGCATCCAGAAGAAACAATCACAGCCAGGCATGTCTGGCTGTGGATAAATTTTGTACTGGTTACCTGAGTAGGGCAAGTGATCAGTGATTGCACTGGCCGCATGACATGTTTACTCACTGTGCAAGTCTGCCTCCTTTAGCCCTTTATCTACCTTCTGCTGCCATCCTTTGTGATTTGACAAGAAGACTTCAAAGCAACCATGTGAGTCCTTGATCAACAGTGTCTCATTGTATAGGTACTTCCCAAAGGCTGTGTTAACTTTGGATGGATCAATTGTAAGGTCTTTCCTTTTGAGTTTAATCAATTCAAAACACCTTGTCCATAGATTCCAGGCAGTGGTGCTGAACACTTGGTACATCACAATGCGTGTGATTGATGTATGCAACTCTAGGGTGAGGTTGTTAGTAGCCATTTGTCCCCTTTGAGCAACATTCTGACAAGAGTCATATAGGTCTTGCTCAGGCAGCATTTGTGGACCCATGTTAGAATCCTATCCATGAAGCCTTTTGACATGGTGATCAAGTGAGTTCTGTCAGTGCCCTCGCTATTTGTCTTGTGTCAAACTAACTTGATGACATCCTGCACCTCAGCTGAGCATGCAGGATTCCCTTCCCAGTGCTCCTGTGTCTTGTTGAAATGCCATTTTCCATGATATGTATTGCTGGCTCTGTTGTATGGAGTGAGTGTTAAATGGGTTACTGCAGAGGTGCTACACTAGTACTCATACTTCCTCCCAATACTTTTTGAATGCTGTGTGAATACTATCACATGTACTTTGGCTGTTATTTTCATGAAAACACTTGTATGAAATAAATAGTGTGAGTGCCTTATCTGAATGTTGGTTTGGTATCTCCTCAAGCACATCTCTGAATGCTGGATCCTCATAAGCATCACCATTGTGTGATTCCTCATCTCAACAGCCAGTAGTGGAGGTATGCACCTTCAGCCATTTCTGTCATATCCCATGTGCCAGACCTAGATCCCATAATATTCTCATGCCTTCTGGGCCTATTTCTGGACCCCACCTCTGACTCATTCCCAGATCCCTTTCTGCTGTGTGCTTCATATCTAAGCAGGATTAGATCTGCTACAGAATTATCCCTGAGCTCTGGACCTCCAGATCTTTACTACTAGCCTGATCCGTACACCTCTATCCTGTCCACCCTATGCACATTCCATCCAGCAAAACATCCAGTGTCTTAATAACCAAGGGTCTTATATAAATGTGTGTAAAATGTAATGACACTACAATTACACTAGGATAAGACTTCTTGCCAGTCCTTGATTAACATGGTCTATGACTTTTCTTCTTTTGTGGTAGATAACATGTGAGTTCTTGGGAGGCTTGCTAAACTAATCTATGTGATTAACTTAGCTAGAGCTTTTGCGTTTTATCCTAACTTATAAACTTGTCTAGGATAAACCATCTAGACACTGGAATGTAGTTCCTCGTTAAGATAATTCTCTGTAGAGACTACAGTCTCAAATATGAATACATTAACCAAAGACTGGTTGGTCAAATAGGTACAAAGTGGTGAGAAACTGGTCTCATAAATGATCAGATTGACCAAAGCTTGTGTTAGTCAATATCAGAAAACTAGGTGAGAAGCTGGTCTCAAATAAACTAAGTTTCTATCATAAGAAACTTATGTAATCTCAAGGGAATGTCTTTTCCCTGCACTTGGTACTTCAAAGAGGCTTTCTTTGTAAGCAACAATCTTCACAGTGAGTAGCTCAAAATGAGATTCAAATGATTGCAAGTGGGAGGTCCTATTTTTGGGAGGGAGAATGGGCCCTCCTTATATACATTTTGTGTGGGAATATTATGTAAGTAAAAAAGCGGAGCAATGACATCAGAAGTGGAGCAGAACATTCTAGAATATTCCATAGGTGGAGTAATGACATCAGAGGTGAGTCATTGTGGAGCAGAACATTCCAGAACAAATGACATCATCATGACATCATAACTTTCAACAGAATACTTGCAGGAGTATCAATGGAGTCATATGACATCATTATGACATCATACCCTGTAGGTACAATTTTGTGAAGTATCTGATGGGTCAGAGCATCCCAATAGAAAAATAAATCAAGGAAATACTAGAGAAAACAATTCAGAAATAATAATACAATAACAAGACACAAAACACAGGCTTTTTAGATAGGTTTTTGTTAGGCTTTGAACTTTTCTCTATGGTTTTCTCTAGCCAAAGTGAATAAGCCAAAGGCAAGGCAATACCTTAACCTTCTTATTGCTTCACAATATCAACTAGGTCATTATGTGATTCCCATCTCACAAATGACTTTTTTCAGAATATGATAAATTCATGAATCACAGAGGGGAAAGTGAACTATTTGACCAAGGTTTGAAACCAAGGTATGGGTTGACTAGCCTGATGCCTAAGCTAACAGACTTTGTCTTTTAGGGGGCTACCTAGTACTCATGTCCATGCATGATTCCTAAATCATGCAAGACACCAGACTTTACCTCCTCTTGGATTCTGGACTACATCCACTGCCTCACATATCTCAGTCCTGTTTCCACCTTGCCTTCCAGATCCCTATATCTCCGGACCTCTGCATATTGACTGTTACTATCTCCAGACCTATTCCCACCCTCTGTCCAAGATCCTGCACCTATCCCCATTTAGGCATCTCTGCCTGTCCAGTTCTTGGTTATCTCTGTTTCTGTCTTGCTGATTGATCCTTGTACTAGTTTCATCTCCAAGTTCATTTACTTATGTTCTGTCTCACTTACTAATGTGTTTGCGTATGCTTGTACATAGCCTTACTCCTTTGCTTACTGATCCTCTCAGATAGCTTCTAGTATATAACCCCTGTGCAACTCTAGTAGAGTCCTCAGTCTGAATATCACCTTAGACTTGCCCAATCTTCTTCCAGACTTCAGTCCATCTGAGTTTGTTCTTTTTCATAAGGCCTAGGGATGGATTCCCTAGGCCAGAATTCCAGACCTTCAGATTTGTTCCCTATGTCTCTGTCCCAAGTCTAGGGATTACTTCACTAGGCTGGAGTCTTGCCTTTCCAGCACTTACTCTCTCTCTCTAGACTTGGGTCCACTTCCTGTCTCTCCAACTCTACCTCTGTTTGCTTCTACATCAGACTTTGTCTGATGTAGCCCCTATTCCTTCTGGACCTCCTGTCCTCTGTACCTCTGGATGTCCTGTCCTTTGTACCTCCAGACATCTTGTCCTTTTGATCTCCTGATTTCTGGACATCCTGTCTGTCATATGCCATTCTGGACTCTCAACTCTAAATCCTGCTTCTCCGGATATCCGGATCCAAGATCTGGATCTCAAATAATCTGATCTATCTTTATCTCCCTTCCAGAATCCAAACCCTATATCAGCACCCAACTCCATTTAGACTGCCCCTGTCTCCGGACTCTGGTTAACCATGTTTTCCTTTTGATTATTGATCCGTTACATACATTTCATTTCCGGTGTTCATTATTTGTGATCTGTCCTACTTACTGGTAGACTCTGCATATGCTTCATACATAGCCTTTATGTTTGCTGACTGATTCCTATATGATACCTACAGTATATAAACCTCCTGTAACTCTCGGAAATACTCCAGTTCAAATATCATCTTAGTTCCTGCTCATTCCTGTGTCCTCCAGACTCGAGATAAGTCCCTTGTCATATTCCAAGTCTTAGGATTGTATCCTAGACTACATTTCTGACTCTACCTTAAGGGTAGTCCATCCTCTGTTAGTTTCTAGTCTGGACTTTGTCCGGATTAGTCTTATCCGCTTGCCCAGGTAACATCTGGATGTCTGTCGGATTTATCTCACGTCTCAGATCTGGACGTCCACTATCCGCCCTAGTCAAATCCTGGAAACTCTGGACGACTGTTCTAGCCCCTGGAAATTAAGGGCACATACTTAGGAAAGGGGCACAGCATACAAGCTGAGGCCTTGTGATCTAACCCCCTTGAGCACGCGACCTTAACACTGTCCTCCTGTCCTCTGGACCTCCTATCCTTCCATCCTGTTTCCCATAGAGATATTACCTTGAGACCTCTCCACTTCCTGTGTAGTGGGAACTCCTCTAAGTATTTCATGTACTTCTCCAGAAGTCCTTCAGACTTCATCAAACCATCATTGGACTTCATCTGAAATGAAGGGCACATACTTGGGTAAGGGGCACAGTATACAAGCTAAGGCCAAGCTCCTCTGAGTCAGTCTCTCCCTCCTTTGAGCATGGCTCTTAACAATTTCTGTCCATAGTCAATGTATGAATTGTAATTCTTCTGTGTGCTGCTTGCATGCTTATGCTGCTACTTTACCCTTTCCTTTATCTTGTTGATGACCAGCAAGGTAGTATTTCCTGCAGTGGGCTGTGCTCCTTCCTCCATTTCTTGGGACTTGCTTCAGGTCAGGAGATCCCTGTTGAGGTGGTTACAAGATTTTCAAATGAAATATCTAAGGAAAGACTTACCTTCAGAGTGTGCTTGTTCAAGGTTTGTCACATTCTTTGGGGACATTGCCAAGGAAAGGAATACTGAGCTGGTTGGAAGATCCCTGATGAGGTGGTTAAAATATCTCCAAACAAGATGTTCTAAGGAAATACTTGCCTTCAGAGCATGTGCCAGTTCAAAGGGTTGGCTCTCCCTGGTCAATATGCACAATCCTGGGGAATATTGGGAGATAAGGAGAGAAACTTGTATGGGATGATGTCATATCCCACAATCCAGACCCACAATCCATAATATTCCCACGTCTTCCAAGCCTATGTCTGGACCCCATATCCAACTCATTCCCAGATCCCCTTCCACTGTGTACTTCACACCTCAGCAGGATCAACTCTGCTCTGGATTTACCCCTGAGCTCTGGACCTCTGGATCCTTACTGCTGGCCTGATCCGTACCACCCTACCCCATCCACCCTATGTACACTCCATCCAGCAAGACATCTGGGCTTCACCTTGTCTCAGATTCAGGACTATATCCACCTCATTGTATCCCAGTCCTGTATCTACCTCACCTTCCAGATCCCCAGATCTCTGGACCTCTGGATATTAACTGTAACTATCTCTGTATGTATTCCCACCCTCTGTCCGATATCCTGCACCTATCCCCATTTAGACATCTCCGCCTTTCCAGCTTTCAGTTACATCTTCTTCTGACTTGCTTATTGATCCTTGTATGAGTCTTCATTTCCAAGTTCATTTAGTTATGTTCTGTCTTACTTACTAATGTGTTTCCACATGCTTGTACATAGCCTTGCTCCTTTGCTTACTGATCCCCTCAGATAGTCTCCAGTATATAACCCCTGTACATACTCCTGTAGTTTCCTCAGTTTGAATATCATCTTAGATTCTGTTCTCTCATCTTAGACTTTGGTCCACCTAAGTCTGTCCTATCCATCAGGCCTAGGGATTGATTCCCTAGGCCAGAGCTTTGCCTTTCCAGCACTTACTCTCTTTCCAGACTTAGGTCCAATCCCTGTCTCTCCAACTC